TCATCAGATTTTAAACTTCACCTTCACAAAACCAGATCGTTGTTTTTTAAACCTTTGTAAACATCAATCTAGCTAACAAACTGACGGCCTGCGTGATGGATAATGGTACCGTTATCTACAGACATGAAGAGCAAAACACACCCCTTTTTTACTGATCAACAGAGCTAAAGCGAGAGTCATTATTCGCCAAAGACATTTCTTTAGCATAAAACTAAAAACTAGGATTGTGATCGATATTATAAGTGCCTGAACACGATCAAACGTTATCCCAAATACAATGTGTCGAGATATTTTATCCATAGCGCGCATGATAAATGAGGAAGACCCTGGCTGTATCACATTCATTATTGCCTCACAGTACGCATGACGTTATCAAAAACTTGTTACCACCGCTAACCCGTCTGTAGAACGATCGTTTGGCCCCGGACGCCACCTCGGGGACTTGTTTCAGATGCCATTTCTCGCTGGTAAACAACAAAACAGCTTATAATTTATCTTGACCATGGCTTTGTTGCCTTTATTTATGATATATGCATAGTAATCTCGTAATGGCGATAAGTTATAGTCTTTGTAATCATTCCCACAACATAAAATTTAAATGTTTTACGTTTTTTAAAATTAATTTATTGAATTAAAATTTAGCAGTTTGTGAAATATAAACTTTCTTTTACTTTGAAATTATCAACATTCACATCTGTACAAATTATTTAATCGTATAAATATTTTCTTAGAAATCTTATTTCCAGTAATTCTGATTACATACATACAGTCATACAGATAACTATTATTACTACAGGACTGTCCAAAAAGAATTGTATTTCGTTATATTTTTACACTTTTGCCAAATTATGTCATATATAATCTATATCATATCGTGATATAATTTATCAAAATCTGTCGAAATTATCATGATAATACCAAAATCAATACATATGAACTTGTAAAATTATTACAAACTCCAGAGATACGAATAAACCCACGACTCTAAAATTAATTCTGCGTGATGTAAAATATAAAGACATGAATTACACAACATATAGAGACTCTTACTGATAAAGCAATTTTCTTTTTTCTTGATAATTTTATTATTTGCTACAGTAGTGGCGTCATATTATTAAAAATACGATATATATATATTGTCATTATGATAAACTCACGCCATTTTCTCTTTGATATCTGCAGATATTACGTACTATTTATTCCTATCCCGACAGCTCCTTTAATAATAGTTTATATTATAGTAGGTACAAAACGCGACAAGTCATGCACGATACATTTCCACAGAACAGTTAACAATCGTTCAATTTGTAGAGCCAGAGGCTCAGTCCCTGTACAATGGTGGTGCACGCGACGATTCCGAATAGATATTCTCATGAGTAGAATAACGTACAACAATCAAGATGTCATTTTTCAACTACCCACGCCATGAACACTGGAGCGAGTGAACAGTAAGAAATATTGTCGACAACGGCCACGCGTATACTACCTTCATCCAGACTAGATTGTACAAAAGCGCCTAGCGTACAGGACAGTATCTAGGTGCATAGTCATCAAAAGCAATAGTTCGGTATTATACAAACCTCCAAACACTATTATAGAAATATATTTTTTTCTTTTCAAACAAGCAAAATAAGTTTATCTGAAACCGGCATGAAATAAAGTTATAAAAGTGGAAGAAGAGAAACTTTTTGGTTTTATGATATTCTCTTTTCTATCTTTCTCTATCATAACATGTGGTGTTAATCTTTCGAAACACGCAAACAATATAGTGAAGAAGGTACGATTAAATTGAATAGATTTATTAAATTAAAGTGAACATGCCGCATGCCTTTACAAAGGCCGGAAACTGAACACAGATTTTCACATACAACATTGTTACCAAGCCTTACAAAATGAACGAACTAAATGACTGTACCTGAATCATTAATAGTATAGTTTGTCGAATCTTAAAACGAATTATTTTATGCTAAAATGTTTAGCTCAATCTAAACTAGCTAAGCAGTCTGGAATACAACAATGTCATTATCGTTAGCTATCAGTAACATCTTATGAATAATATCCAAATATATAAAGTTTGCGAAATAAGTATAGCACTCATTGTATCCACGCACCAATAGCTCGAAATTGCCAAACACCGACAATGACAACATGAAGTGCAACCTAATCGTAACATCTATTTTTAGTGGCCATTAAATAATTCCAGAATGTTAGTTCTATACATATTAGCCGTATACAAAGTAACTAAATGTATAGTAGTCGCTTTTCTGCAACGCTCATTATAACAATTCACAGAAGTCAGTGAGCAATTTATCGACTTTGATGGAAACTTGTGGCGAGAAATGATAGTAATTATTGACACGAACCGCCGCTCCAGGCAAACGTCGTCCATTCGCTGCGAAAGATCACAGCCGTCCACTAACTCGAAAATTCCACATTCATAACGGGGCAAGCCCTTGAGCAAGAACAGAGGCAGTTTCAGCCTCGTTTACAAATCGCAAACGGTGTTGTTACTATAAAATGATAAAACGGACAGATATAAATGGATAAATTATTTAAATATAATATATATATATATATATATATATATATATATATATATATATATATATATATATATATATATATATATATATATATATATATATATATATATATATATACTAGCTGACCCCGTAAACGTTGTTTTACCACTTATTGCGAAATATAAAAATCGCGATTAAAAGACAGGGGTTGATCGTAAAACGATGAAAATTTAAAGTTGTGTGTATTTTTCATTGCTAAATCATAATAAAATAAAAATGGAAAAATTTGTTAAAAAAATAAAAAAAAAATTTTGGGGAGGGTCACCCTTATCATTGAGGGGTATGAAAAATAGATGTTGGCCGATTCTCAGACCTACCCAATATGCACAAAAAATTTCATAAAAATCGGTAAAGCCGTTTCGGAGGAGTTAGGAGGAGTCTTAATTCTCAGAAATAGAATACGCCTGAGAAATACCATTGACGCAGATCATGTCTATAGAGGACGATCACCATTTTCCATTTGTTTGCCTTTCCCAGTCAAATAAGATCATCAATTGATTGTAACCTACAATAGACCAAATATAACACAATATCTAGTCCAAGTTAATGAGCAAATACAATATCAAAGATGAATTACAAATGATAAAAAAATTAATCCAACAAATGTAGCTGTCTCGATACGATTCCCATAGAAATGTTTTAACAATCAACAAAAGTCATTACGGAATGTAAGAAAACATTGCTACAGGACTTCCCGCTGTACTCTCATCTGGTAAGTGGGAACAAATAAGAGTCAAAGGCAAACCAATCCTTTTAGGGCCAACTATTTCTATCGAGTAGCATCTTTTGTTATTATACAATGGCGCATCGATCGCAGTAGATTGTGCGGAAACGTTCGGGAACCGCTAACGAATACTGCGACCGCGAAGCTAATTGAAGTTATTGCAGCCGCTGACTCTAATCCCGTCGTCCGTTTGTAAAAGACTGGCCACGTTCTTAGACGAAAATGGTCGAGTATTAAGGACTTCAAATTTCTCCATTATAAAATGAAAATTTGCGAGTGTACTTATATACGGACAGTACCTGTTTATTTTTGTGATTATTTATACCAATAATGATATTCAACTTTGGAAAACAAACAGATGGAGTTCGAACTAAAAATTAATAAATATAAATTACAAAAATTGTCAATTGATAATCTTCATAGTTTCGCGAGGTTATATAATAATAATAGCAACACAATATTATCCGACTCTAAAGATTATGATCCTCGCTCCATCGAAGTTAACAAGCATCTCAATTTTAACGAATTTTGTTTAATTACAATAACCGGGACCGATAGCACAATGATGTTGAAAAACATTTTAGATTTATCTTTCTATAAATTAATAATTTTAGTTAAAAAGAACTTCCTAAGTGAACAAATCTTCACTAAATGATTACTTAAAAGATACATAAAAAGACATATTATTTTCAGTAGCGATTTTCAATATATGATAACCTCCATAGCAAAGTGATAGGCACTTACTTTACATAAATGAAGTTTTGGATTCAAATATTGGTTAGATCATTTTAAGAAACAAAACTTTCTATACTAGCTCGGGTTTGAATGTTCAGGGTTATACCCCAAGATATTCGCTGGCTGGTTACTAATAACACAGGAAAACTTATAATTTTTCTTATAATATACGTATTTAAATTGTTAGACATATAACTGTGTGATATATGATGACTGACTTAAGAAAGCAACAGTCGAGTTTCTTAATGTCATAAACAATAATACAGTACCTCAAGCTACGCATATCACAATAACTCTACCGCCTAGAAAGCTCTAACTCTTGTAGGGTTTCAAAAATCCAATAAACATGTTAACTGCGCTCTCAAACTAGCCATTGATAATTTTAATGCTCTGTCTAGCCCGCAGGAGTACAACATATTTTCTCACAGATATTAATGGCTATTTCTCAGCAACTAATCGGATTGTTACGTGTGATATTTTGAATAATGTTAATTTATGTATTATTTGTAAAATCACAATTAATAATTAAAAAACGTACCTTTATGTAACAAAAACCAATGAAATTAACCTAAAAACTAAGCTGTTTATAACATAACAAAATAAACACACTGATAAACAAAAATAGAGGAATAATAACAAACATTTGAGTTTATTATTGCATATATAGTATACCTTAATTTGGTACATATCATGTAAAAAAATATCCAACTTAAAAACTTTTATTACAATTTTAATCATTTTAAGGCTTTTTATTTTTACAATATATACATACGAGTAAAAAATATTCTAGTATATTTTTCAGAAATTTTATTGGCGTCGCTACTACTATCAGCTTTCGGTTTTCTCAGATCATCAAACATAATTGTGTTTCAAGAAATTCACAATACAAAATTAAGTCTACTTAGTTTTTAGCAACGTACAAAATAGATGATTATTGATACATAAATAGAATAACATACCTGTTAAATGGTTCCCAGTAAACTCGAAGTCATCGTCCTGGTCCCAGTGCTTTAGAGAAAGGTTACCAAGTGGCGTAGCGTTGGCGAACTCCAAATTGGCGAAATGCCAGTCAAGAATTTGTCTATCACGAACCGATAAGTATACGGAACTGAAAACATTTTACTTTTTAATATAAAATCAGAACTTTTATATGAGTATAAACAGGGTTAATAATATATTATAACCATATATCATTTGTTAGAAGAAATGACTAAATTCGAAAATATTAAAAAAACTGCTATGAATTTATTTTTATGTGTCAATATCTTGTAAGAAATTTTTCAAACCATATGTATGTGCTAGTTTTCACCTCAGTACTATTCTAATATGTTATTAAGAAATACAGAGTACAAGTAACTTAACTACCTATGGGTAAAATATTTTGAAAACATTGTCTTATATCATTTTATACTAACAAAGCACTATTATAAATGTTAACAGATTTGAATTAATTTGATACTAAATACATATGATACATTTTATTTTCACATGAACAAAGTCACGGATTACGGCTAGTTTATTTCAATTAAATTAATGGCACATTAAATCCAGATGAGTCAATAAACATACAATGTTACTTAAGTCTGTGCATTGTGACAGGTGCCAAGAATTGTAACCAGACACGACTATTAATGTGCAGAAACAATGAACTTTGCTAATGTTACTCAATGTATCATACATTGTTTATAAACAATATTGGAGGATGCAATTGGTAAACCATCTATAAATATAATCCTTAGTAATATTATAAATGAGAAAGTTAGTTTGTTACTTCTTAGCGCCTTAACGATTGAACCGATCACTATGAAATTTGATATATACGTTACTTGGGATAACACAGGGCATAGGCTTACTATCCTAGTCAGCGAATATACCCCGCTCACGCGGGTAAGATGGTAGGCAAAATAGTATTGTAGTAATGAGCGAGGCCTCTCATAATATACATTATTCTAGTAATATATATTAACACACACACACACACACACGTAATAAATTTATTAATTAAAATAATTGATAAGGTAGAGACATTCTCAAATTGACAGCCAGTGCAAACAAACGTAGAGCCCTACGCTAGATTGCACAACGACCTCCAGCAGTGTATTACAGTAAATATGGGATGCTTGAGAGGGTTCTTTGTAAGAATCGGCAGTGGATAATAAATAGCTGAAATAATGATAATCTTGATACCTTGGCGGATTGGATTCCAGTTGTGTCAATTTCTCCTCAATATTGGCATTTTGGGTAACTAATGAATCATACTCATTGCATAACTGGTTCATCTCTCTGTTAAGGCGACGTAAATTAAACTCTTGCAAGATACTCGCTTCACCCGTCGCACCCCTCTCCCTCTCAACTAGGAGCGCATCTTTCTCAACTTTCATTGATTTCAATAACTCTTGTATGTCAGTCATCCTGGTAAATTGTAAAAAAATGCAATTTAAGTTGCAACTTCAATACATCAAATTCGATATTATTTTAGACAAGTATTTTTTATACTTATTATTATTATATTATTGACAGAAAACAAAACAGAACTCATTTAGATGGAAAGTGGTAATCGTCGCGCATAAACATAAACATCATGGAAAACAGAATTTATACTCTTTTGGTGCGAATCGAATGCACAACTAGATTTATTAAATGTTCAGTCCTCGCTAATAATACTACCCCACCCAAGACTCCTGACTCAATTGTTGCTATTCCTCAGTACTTAGGTTTTATGCCTTTTGTGTCAAAAATTTATGCACTGAAGAACCTACCGTTCTGGGGAGGGAAGAGATTGTCAGTAACGAGTTTAACAGCCCCATTGCTAGCAATATACCTTACCATGTTGACCCCCACGCGTTTTCCCCTGGAAACCAAGGTGGTTAATTCTTGTTGAATTATTCACAATGGGCCACTGACCAACTGACCTGCCTTCATCATATATCACTGGTACCTAATCAGCATATACTGATAGCGCAAGCGGGATAACCATTCCATTTTCACCTATTAATAAATCTACCATTCTGGGGAAAAAGGGGAAGGGATTGTTAGTAACAGGGCAAAACGCATACGTGTAGTATTCTAAAAGAGGAGATTGGGTCCTTTTTATACCAGTCTTGAGGGTGAAGTCACAGATAGAGTTAGTTTAATTATAAATAATTCATTTATATACTTAATACATATATTTCAATTAACAATACTTATACTTACTTATTTAAATTAGTTTTAAATTTTTCTTGTAAAGTTATCACAGCTTTCAAATGTTGTATCTAAAAGATATAATTAATACTTTATTAACAAAATACAATTACAATTTATAATTCATATTTAATTTAAATAAACGAGAGAAAGACAATGAGACTAATATAATTATAATTGTTTTAATATAATGAATCAATTGTTTGACCTGTTTGTGTTTGACATTCTTCTGTTGGAGTTTGATTACCCACTCTAATGCCTGACCAAGTGAGACCGGAGTATCATTATAATAATTGAAGTCAACTTGGTGAGATAAATAAGAAGTAGCATCGAGAAGACGGTTGAACTCACGTTCCACCTATAAAAATAATAATACGTAATATAACATACAAATGTATATGTATATTATAAAATCATAATATTAAATGTATGAGTTACTCAACCTACACTATTTTCATGTGTCTACACAATTTTTTTTCTTATGTTTGTTGAGAATAGACAATTTAGTGGGCTAAAAGATAAAACCTTTTTTTTATTTTTGACCACTGTTTTAAATCGTCTCCATAAAAGGCAAAATGGGGCAAACACAGTCGCAACTATAACAAGTAGCATTAAACTCTTTTCAACTGACTTTAAAAAGAAGGTTCTGGATTCGGAGATATTTTTTTTAATGTTTGGAAAATTCTTTTTTTATCTGAAAGGATATACTTATCGATCAGTTCCATATAAATTTTATCAAAATTGGTTCAATAGTTTAGTTTTGAGATCAAAATATGTAAGTGGTTTTGTCACAATTATAATAACTTTTTTGTGAAGCAAAATCTTTAATTTTATTATATCGATAATAAGAGCAAATTACCTGTCAAATGCTTTGCATATTATTACTGAAATGTAGTAATATTTTAAGATATAACACAAACGAAAATTTTACAATTATTATAGTTACAATAATCTTGTTTAGAGCATTCCCTGCATGTACACAAGACTTGTTTGCAAGTATCATAGATGAACCAGCTGTCATTGTGTTTAATCATATTAGAAAATAATCCCAAGGGATCATTAGAAAATATGAGTAATAGATACAAAAATTGAATACTTTTTAATTTTTAAAATTTTAAAATTATTAATTCCACATACCATTTCGTCTTTATGTTTAGGTACTTGATTGCCAGTGGCTTCATACAGTGGACACTTCTGTTTGATCTTATGCAATTCCATATTCATCTGAACTGATAATGTGGTTACTGGGTTGCCTCCTAACCCTGTTACCACCATAGCTCCTGTAGAATAAAATATATAAGAGTGTATTAAACGTACCCAATTGATTTTACTAAATAAACAGTCTTCATAATTAATATAATTTTTGTGCATGATTTTATGAAACCATTATGATGAACCAATATTATTTAATTTTAATATTTCAAAATTAATTATTAAATATAGATAATAATTATTGTCATATCAATACTAAAGTTTCAGCACTGATTAAGGTCTAATACATTTTATAAACAGCAATCCTATAATGTTGTAACCACTACACATTCTGGTTGCAGCTTCTCCATAAGCTTTCAATACATTTCATAAAAATATTAAAGCCCATTAAATAAATTAAGAAAAAACATTATGGAAATAAACTGTTGTTAATGATTCTCAGGATTTATATTTTAGATTTAAATATAAAGAATCTAGCAAGCTAAAAAGGTTTTATCCATATTAACCATATACTATGTGTACATTCATTCTTTAGTCAATCTCCTATATTTCGAGCTAATCCGTCGCCCGTATCCAATAGCGAGGATGGATCGCTCTGTTATTTACGCGACCCAAAAACAAAACCACACAGGTTAAAAACTTGACATTTTAAACATCTACTATGTATTTTTGCAATTTTTACCCTAAAAGGGGTAAAATAAGAAACATAGGATTACATAGAAATTTGTCATTTTCAAAATTAGAAGCATGAAATTTCTGTTTTAAGTTTGTGGTTAAAAATAAATAAAAGCGTATTTAAACATTTTTGACAATCCATCTCTTAAAAGGATGTCCATCATTTTTATAGTTAGAATCATGAAATTTCACATACAAGGTTCTAAAATAGTGGTTGAAAGTTATGGAGCCATCCATGTTCATGCGTGCAGTGCAATAAAATTGTTGATTTAGTAAGAAATTTAATAATTATAAATATATATAACTTAGCACTGCACGTACTAGGTCAATGTAGCGCCCCACCAGTTTTGTATTAATTACCTATATTATTATAACAGTTTATTTTAAACATAATGTACAAAGACAACTATAATCAAAATATATAAAAATGTGCAAAGAAAAATAAAAACGCCGTAATATACTAATTTGTAACCAGAATAAAATTTCATACTTCTTATTTTAAAAATCACAGACTTCCATACAAACATTTAACCCTTATACTTACAGTGGAACAAAGCCACGGGCAACAGCTAGTTTATTTATATCGTTTCACTTTCCTGGTTTTAATAGGGATAATTTAAAGATCATACAAATGATACCTCTATAAACTAGCTATCTAAATATACTTGAGTACATTTACCTAAATCAGCAACATAAGGCCCCTTTCGATATGTGACAACTCTTCCACCGACTCTATCTCTACCCTCCAATATGACAACCTCACATCCAAATGATGTTAATTGACGACCAGCAGCCAAGCCCGACACTCCTGAAACATAATATAGTGGCACATTTTTACTTTTTTTTTTATTTTTCTTATTACTTGCTTACTTTCAGAAGTGGCGTAATGGATTCACTGTAGATTATTTTATTAATTACTTTAATTTTTTTTAAAACAGGTTTTTTATCAACAGAGGGTCTCACGCAAAATGTATCTTACTTATATCCAATTTAGGTTTATATTAAAAGTAAATAATTTGAAAAAATTCATATCACCCCTCTGTATAATATTATTATTATTTTTAAATAAATTGCAATCACTGTGTAATATCATATAGTTAATGTTTAATGAGCCATTACACAGTGATAGAAAATTTGTATAGATTAACTCAAGCTTAACTCATAAGTTATCATAAAAAAAATATCTGACTAGTCATGAATCAGTGAATTATAAATGAAATATAAATAGCAACAAACTGGGCAACAGAGTGACAAACTGGAAAATCAAGTTCTATTGACAAAGCTAAACAAATATACATAAATTAAAATTAGAAACTGAATCCCTGAATTTAAAGACTGAGTAAAACCAACAATTACAATACTGAATGAATGACCCATGATAATTATTATTCAACAATAAACATATATAGGCACATACTGATTTTCATATTTCAAGTGTTTTTTTTTTTTTTATGTATCATTAAGATAGACAGAGAACTTGATAGTTTATATGATAAAAAATAACAAATATTATCTATAGACTATAGATACCATTATTAAACAATGTACAGGGAGTACATTGTATTGTTTTATTAAAGTATTTTATGTATATAAAGTTGGTCATTTATTAATCGCTGCTCCAGAGGACTAAAATGCCCTTAACTATATGTTTTAAATGTTCTTTAAGGAATTTATCCATGTTGGTTCTACCCTTTAACTATTATTACTAAGAACATTGTAACTTAAATATCAAATCAAAAAGAAATATGAGTACCTGCTCCAATGATAATCACTTTTGGTCTCTGTTTCCCTTTAGGTGGATTTGGTATAGGTGTGATACGCTCATATATGCCATAGTTAATAAAGCCATGTCTCTCTAAGAATGTATGACATCTCATAACCAAAGCGGGGTCACCATTGTATGGAGGCTGAAATATCAATCATTGCAATCATTATAACAACAATACATACATAATATTTAATACAATTAGATATTCTATTACTGTATATTCAAAATAGCTTTCTTTTTAATGGATGATAATGGAATGGTAACCTCGTCTATGGTATACACAGACGGGGCGCCAGTAGAGGATGATAAGTAAGGATGAAAGAGCAGATCAGTTAGCCTATCATGAAGAATACACCTGGAATTCAGTACGATGGTTTCCGGAGGGGACCACATGGAGGTCAACCTGATAGGGTAATATTGCTAGCAACGAGACTGATAGTCTGCATGACTAACAATCCCTTTCCCCCCTTCAAAATATATAGGCATCCAATATCATATTATTTCAAGTTATCGAAAATACTTCAATTAGATCATTAGATTATAGTACTTTTTCTATCACTAAATTAATTATTATGATTAATATGTCAAACATATTGCTTTCATCATAAAAGCATGAATTTAAAGATATTATTAAGTTATAACTATAATATATTGAGTTTACCTCCATTTTCTGTATAGAATATTCTGGGGTAAGTTGTTTCTTTGGATTTTCAAACCACAATTTTAGTATACGGTTTCTTATTTGAATAAAAGCATGACTGGAAGCTCCTTGAAGATCTGAGAAACATTCTGCCTCTAGTGAAGACATTTTATCAAATGGCAATCGTGACTGAAAAGCGGCTCCTTCCAAACTGCAATAATATATTTATCATTTTATGTATAGGCTTTCGAAAATAAAAAGAAATTCAATTTTCCATTTTGAATGATTAGGGAAATCTCCCTAACCTGACTCCTGCTCCTCCTTTACAATATTGATATGAGAGTCTTACCAATATTTCAAACTACTGTATTCTGCAATTTGCCTTTGTGAATTTAAATATAAAACTAAATTAGAAACTAATTGAGAAATTAAATACCAAATAATTATGTTTACAAATACCCTAAGGATATCCACTGACAAAATATTTAAATTTATAATATCATTAAAAAGAAAATGTGTAGAAAAATGCACTTCAAAAATATATTTTCTCAAACTATAAACTTGACACTAAGTGAATATATATGCTATTTTTTTTTACCTATTTAACATCTCCTTGTAATTAATCTCTTCAATATCATCGGTCTTTGTGTCGTCAGATGCCGGTTTTTCTTCTTTCTTCAAATCTTTAATGTCAGTTGTATGGCTCGAAGAGGACTCTCGTCGGCCGCCGAGTAAAGATGGACTTGACGAAGTAACTTTACTCTTTTCGGACTGATCAGATTCAGAGTCATCTTGCTTCAACTTCTCATCTAAATCGCGATTTTCGACCTGTTTGTATACAAACATAACCTAAGAAATAAATTACATTCTACAAACAAATACAAGATGTATAATAACAACCTAACCTTTACACGTTTACGACGACTCATATTTCTATATTATTTGATGTACCGCAATACAAAATCGATTAATAATAGAATAATAAAAAAAAAATGAAAACAAAGCACTTTACGAATTAAAGTACCTACTGAAGATTCAATAAACTTTCAAGTGACAGCTGGCGACAGCAGCTATAACATTTAAGTCATTCAATAGTCAAATTGTAGCAGTCAGTCTAGCGAATCAGTCGATTTTCTTTTTAGTACGTTTGTTCCGTTGTGGAATAGGCTAAGGTCGAAGACCATGCTGCCTAGTCCTCAATATGATAATTTGTCTGGAATTTGCGAATCAGTCGAATACAAATGTCATAAATTTAGATAAATTATTTTTAATCTTTAGTGTTAATTTTATGGATTAAGTCTATCTTCAGCAACCAACAGTTAACGGCTGCTATGATGATGTTGTCAATAATATTATTATATTGTCGCTATAATATATCAACAAAATAAGACTAAGTTCTCAGTACCTACATATAAATTTTATCATCAAAATCATCATCATTACAGCATCTGCATCTGTTCACTGCTTAACATAAACCTCCCCCATAGACTGCCTACTGATAATTTTATCTTGGCCACAAGTGATCAGTAGTCCAGCATACAAGCGGAACTTTCAATTAAGCGCAAAAACAAGTAATAGATTACGTATACCTAAGCCTTTTTCAGCTTTAAAAAAAATTAAACACTACAGTTCATTATTACATATAACAATAGTTTTAATTCATATATGAAATTGATCATTTTAATTTCCATCTCAAATCACTAAGTTCATAAGTGAACTAGTGGGTGATAGTAATATGTATCTCCTGTTTTCTTATTTCTCTAAGTTATCAGTGATATTATGACTGAATTTATGATTTAGTTTACGGTAATGAAAAAGACGTTTACAAATTCAAATGAAGCAAAATAGAGTTTAAAACTGTGTAGTTTATAAAAAATAATTATCATTAAGTGTATGCTTGAAAACTAATTAAGGGAAAACACTGCCTAACCTGTGACCCATCCGTAATATTAATGAGGTCTCTTTTTTATTGAATTTTGGATTGAAACAATTTAAAACTGAACAAAATTTGAGACTGAACACATACTTTAAATTAAAATAAAAAACAAACTATTTGGTTAAGGCCTTTTAATTTATAGATTTGTGTAACAATTTAAAATATTTTAATGTTTAAAAATGATAAATATATTGATCAACAATAATTCAAGACATTCAGTAGCTATGCTAATATTACAATGTTTTCCTGAATTGATTTTGAAGAAGGCTATCCTCCGAATATCCAGCAATTTCTTGCGGCACAATAGCACTCTCTTCGATACTTCCACAAGGTCTGCACATGCATTCAAGGGGAGCTTTCGTCGTTACCTGTACATATTGAATTAATAATTTGGGCATGTTACCAACATACAATAATGATAATAGGAAAATTAACCTACTAGCTATAGAAGACAATTTTTAAAAATACAAATTATTTCAGAAAGCAATTTATCTTTGCCCCTTGATGGCTCTGCTTTGTACGGATGACAGAACAACAAAACCATAGAAAAAATTACTAACACATAATTTACGGATGGTAAATTCTTTTCGGTCTTGAGGAAACATCAGTTACTCAAGAAGTTACCTAATGCAGTCAAAATTGTATTACTTATAAACTAATACATTTTGAAAAGTAAAGAGTACGTAAAGTATTACTTCTTTTATTACAATTAAAATTGTCAAAATATCAATTGTCATTTGCACCATATCATAAAACACATAAAATATTATCTCTAAGGTAAGCCCTGCTAGTCTGCCATCTCTGCTGCATAAGCAGATCTTACATCGCGGTTTTTCGCCGCAAAACATTGACCATACCAAATCAGCGTTGCAAAAGTTGCATATTTTCCATCGACAGTTTAATCTCACTTATATATGTAAAAAATTAGGTACTAAAATGATATCTTTACATAGAATATATTGAAAAAAAATTATGTAGGTGGTCTTAATAAGAGCAGTAGAAACCATTTTTTTTTATTTTGCCTGCCAGTCTGTTTGTTCTTGCATCATGCGATAACTACTGCACTAAATTAAATGCAGTTTTCACAGTTGTTTTCCTGAATGTCTAGTTTAAAATCTGGTATATGTTTTATCTTGATGTACCATCTTAAAGTAGTATATTCCATTGAGTATCTTAATTTTAAAATACTTGCGTAAGAAGTAGCGAACAAAAAAAATTGTTACGTATCAAGGCGTTTTTTACAAACTAACGTTAGTAATAAGGTTTAACAACCTGTTAACAACAATTGCAATATACCCTATCAAGTAGCCCTCCATGCAGTTCCGCCTGGAAACCAACGTGTATTTTTTTTCTTAGTTTGGTACACGTAGATGAACAAAGTGTCCCGTCCTCGCTATTTGATATGGACGACGAGACACCCCAAGTGAAAGAAAAAAACTGCGATACAGATGAGTTTTTGTTCAGTAGCAGTTAATTTATATAGTCCAAGGCGAGTACATTTGCATGTTATTTATTTACACAAGTATGAAATTTGCAAATGCTGTTTTTCTTGTGAGTTTATTTACAAAGAATGGTGCAATGGAGGTATAGTACAGGCCAGTAACTTAATTATCATTAAATCCACATGGGGTATCTGATCAAACTTCATCCTCACTTATTATCATTCAACAGTGCCCCTCCAGCATATACCGATAGCGTAGGCGAGCTTACTTTTTTATTTTCACCAATTAAATGCTTTTCGCAAAATGTGCGTGTAGCTGATTAGGAATATTACATGTAATGCGATGTATTCATTCTAAATATCCACTTATTAATAACTTACCTTTCTGAATCGTTTGTCTTCACTTTTAGCTTTAGGACAAAATAAAACCACAGTAGCTTCCCTCTCGCCAGATTCCTGACAGCAATTGCATGTTCTTTCCATTTGCCAAATCTTGCTTCCAGATACCTATAATTAATAATAGTTTTTATAGAAAAGATAGGTATAGAAACTTAATTATGGAAGGGTATAAGTTTATTTAACTTAAGGATTGAGGGATGGGCAGCAGCATCCCTCTCAAAACATCACCAAATCCTAACTGTGGTTGCTAACTCCGTTGGGAGATCTATATTCCGCAGTGGATTAATAATGGCTGATATGGTGATGATGATGATGTTTCTTTAATAGTAGTTTAATAATATGTGTACAAAAATACAACCAATTGCTGACAATTACTACTTTTACCAAAAAATACATTAATTTTAATTTGTAATCCCTCTAAAATTAAAACCCTTTCAATAAAAAATCATTAAAATTATTCAATAAAACATTTTATTGTAATATAATAATAAAGATTGTGTTCCACAAAAAAATATCGACTTCAATTTGTTTTTTTTTCTTATTTAAAAACTAAACTACTGAACTAATTTTAATAAAAAATTTATGAGACCATTTTGTAAGTAGATGTATCCTTTCATAAAAAAAAAAACAATTTGCTAAATCGGTTTACATTTGACGGAGTTATGAAATAACAAACATAAAAAAATACAACCGAATTGAAAACCCTATTCTTGAATTGGTTTGAAAATACGAGTATACCCCAGTAATATAATATTCTGTCTTGTCTTATGGACTACAAAGATCGTATGTTCTATATTAGCGGACACCAAACAAGATTAACTTTGTGTCACAACAATACTAAATCAAATTAATCTGAGTGAAATTTATTATTTTCCTTTTTTTCTATACAAAATGTAAGTTTAATTCAATTTAATAAATATGTAAATAGTAACATAACTAACATAATACCAATATAAGAAAATAATTTAGAATTTAAGGTTTTATTTTTATAGATAGAAAGTTTCTACCAACTGCTGTTATACCTCTTTAAATAGACTCAATGCCTGGAACCCATGGTCTCCAGTAAAAAAGCTATAATATATATATATATATATATATATATATATATATATATATATATATATATATATATATATATATATATATATATATATATATATATATATATTCCCAGGGATGAACTCGCTACTTCTACCTAGTCTACCTACTCCACTTCTACCTGTTTTTACCAATATTAAACAGACTATAGAGAAAGTATTACAATACACAATATTAATAAATTATAATACAATACGTAAGGATAATAATAAATAATTTATTGTTTGAATGTACTTAATTACTCAATATTAAGTTTGATTTTATAGAAATGTGTGCATTTCGATTATAAAGTTCACCACGACGGCAACAATCGACAAATATCATTGATTACACCATTAAAGTTTATAGTCATAAGCATATTTATTAACTTCTACTGACGATTATAATATTTAATAAACGTACCTGTACGTAACTTGAACATTTTCCAATACATGCAAATGATGGTATCGCTTTGGGCACACATCCCGGATGTTGTAATACATGTATTACTGGAGTCATCTGGCATTCTTGACCTGTTAACAATAAATATTAAATATCAAGAAGTAAATTCATAGAAACTTCGTGTAATATCATTAAATATTTGAACTAGATTTTATATACCTGGAGCTGCATGAACTTCTTGTGCTCTAACATTTTTCTCTTGTATGTGACACATGTATACAATTAACATACAGAATAAAAATAAATTCGAAATCATTTTGTCGGTTATTAGTTCTTATTCTTCTATACTTGAAAGCGTCTTTCTCATACGGTGGATAAAACTTACTTAAGGGTAAGGAAGAATGTATCGACTTTTAAAGGAACACCTAAGTATATACCTAAATCTGTTAGTATAATTATAATAGTATACTAAACAATGAAAATCGTTTAACGGACACGCCACTGAAGAAAATACATAGTGATCCGACCGTGCAAACATGAACTAATGAGTCTTTTAATGGGCTCCCGACTTTCAGACAAGCAATTTACGATAGAAGAAATATACTGATCTACATTGGTAATATAATGGGTAACATATTATACGCATTTAAATTGTTTTATTTTTATATGATAGTTTTTAAACATATTTAGTTGTTATATAACTATTATAAATGTGAAAATGTGCGTGGTTATTTATTGCCACTTAATGCCTTGACGGCTAAACCAATCTTCATAAGGTTTAGTATACTTACACGTAAGTAGTATTTGAGGGAAAAAATAATATCATGGTCACGTGCCGTGTGGTCCCGGCATATAATGAACCACCCCTTCCTTCCCCTTTCTTCATCAATAAGCAGAGCTATTAAAAATTCTTCGACTTATTAAACAAAATGTTTAGCAGGATATTTTCCCGAATGTGTGGCCAGCTCTTCATATTTTGCTAATCATACCTGTAACTGTCGCTAAAGGAGAAAGAAATTTCAATAAATTAAAACTTGTTACAACTTACATTCAATTCTCAGTAAAGAAATACTGTCAGATCTTGCAATTTTGTACACAGAAAATAATATTGCCCAGGAAATAAATAATATTACGAGCGCAAAATCAAGGAAGATGCCCTTCTACATAGACTTTTTTTATGAAATTGTTTTTCTTTATTGATTTAATTTAATTCTCGTAACTACTTATGATTTTTGCAGCATAATAGTTTATATAAAAGCAATCAAATAAATATAAATTTTTGCTATTATTATTTCTCATCCGTCCTACTACTAACCTCAGTATTTGGTCAGTCTATCTAAGATACAGAGATATAAAGATATAAAATCTGTCTGTAAATTATGAAAAGCTTAATCACGACTAATCATGGAAAAAGCTTTAACTGTTGTGTTTGGTGGGGTGACCCAAAAGATCTCGCACCACCTAAAAATTTTGGCTATGGCCGCCACTGACTGAGGAACAGCTCAGAGGAATAATCTCAGCGCCTTGTTAATAAATGCTTGAAGAACTAAATCTGAAATTAGGTGTCTTCACTGGTTCTGCGAGCCACAAACATCAGTGCAAGACAAGACGTTATGACGCAAAGCGCATAAGTTCATAAAAGTCCCGTTATACACATATAGAAAAAACATAAAATTTGTTGCAATAACCTTATAACGCCCCTTTTTGCCGTTTGGACCTTAGTGTCTCCAAATATCAAAGATTATGTAGATGTAAAAAAAATACCTAAGTATGTTCATGACTATAATACCTGGAAATAGATATGTTTTGATTTAATTATTAATTAAATTAATGTAGATAAAAATTAAATACTTTAGTATATTACTAGTAAGTAAATATAAAACCGAATAACATATATTGAAATGGTTATTATAATTTTTAACTAGATTCATATTGTCCTAAAAAAAGGCGAATGACAAGACATTTTACTTAACTTCCCGATAACATGCTGGTAAAGTTACAGGACTGCTTTCCCCATCCCATCACAGCAGGATACAAAATTTCCTATATAAGGGATTTTGCACTCTTTATCAATACATTCTTGCAATTGTACTAGTATCAGTAGTGACTTCTCGAGAATAAGCAAATAATGGTGTTTTTTAAAAGTTTTTCAATATGTTTGTTAGAAATTCTGGCTATTATTTTAATGAAATCTTATGCAGATGAAAATTGTGAAACAGTTCCCACTGAAATTCATGTTACTAAAGGTAATGTTAATTAAAAAAATATGATTAACAATATAATTCATATTTTAAAACTTACTAGTGACCCGCTCCGGCTTCACACGAGTGCAATATTTGTTTCTATAACTTTTAAACTGTTCAACATATTTTAGTAAGGCAGATATTTTAAAATTATTTTAAAAATTTTTTTCAATGAACAGGCTATTTAACAATTTGATATGTGCGCGTTTATATAATTCCCCTGCGCCTCTCACCACCGCACCCGTCTTTTATTCTCGCATGGCCAGCGCCACCGACAACGCAATAATTTTACCGGCTTATTGTTTTTATTTCGCATTATCTTCTAACCAACTACATCAATTAATATGCTTTATTTCCATGAAACTTACATTTTAATTTAGCTATTTGTTGTTATAAGAATTTAAATAAAGGATATGTCAAACCTGTATCCGAACTTAATCTTGCGAAATTTATTTTCCTTTTAACATAAAACCATTTTTTTTTTAATATATATTTACCAAAATAAAAAGTAACCTATAGCACTTAGGGATAATATACCTTTCAAATAGTGAAAGAATTTTCAAAATCTAATCAGTAGTACCGGATATTACCCCAAACATCCAAACTCATATTGCTTTTTTATAATATTAGTATAGATAAGTATTTAGTACTCATCACACCGGATCTCATGAGGTCTCTTTGCAAATTCTAGTAGCCCATATTAAAATTTATTTACTACTTATTTAGATAGGTAAATTAAGATTTTGCTACGCAACAAAATAGCACTTACGATAAAATTATATAACATTAGCGTAAAGAAAGAAATAAAAAAAAACAATTATCAAATGAAGTTCAAAGGTAAATTGAGATCCTTTTTCATTTCTAAATTCATTAAAAATCTATAGCTTAGTAATATAGCTTAGTAATTTAGGTAATGTATCGTAACCAAAAATTGCAAATCTTATACTTACAGAGGAGTTTGATGATATGGGAAGATTAGTAAGATCATGTAGTGGAGAAGTAAATGTAAACAAATGTGAAGGAATGTGCAATAGTCAAGTTCAACCGTCTGTCGTAACGTCAACAGGATTTTTAAAGGTTTGTACAAAGCACAATCTATATTGCGCAATGGCAAGGTTGTTCTTTTACTCAAATGATACATTCATTGATTTGAGTTCGATTTTCGAATTAATTGGATAAATTAGAATGATAACTTTTCTAAGTTTATTTCAGTTTTGATTGTCTTGATTGTGTCGATTTGTTCCTTTACTCATCTCCTTATAATATCATAACACGTATCTCGTATTTATCTTAGATTTAGGAGTGAAAAATTGTTAGAGCATCTGCATGTAATTAAGATTCCTCTATATCTTTGTGATACGAAACCCTAAAAAAGAATTAGGTACTCTTTTACATTGTAATCTTCATCATAGCAGTTGTTAACTTAAACACTGTCCACTACTAGACTGAAGAGGCTTTTTCCAGTAGTCGCCATACTTGACAGGCGGGTTGGTTACCGCATTTAGGTTTTGGTGATGTTTTAGAAGGGACGCTGCTGCTCATGCCTCGACCATTAAATTCCCTTAGTTGCCCCATACGACATCCACAGGAAAGGAAGGAAGGGATGCCCCATTCTATGCCAGGACCACATGGCAATTCTAATCTTATACTTACATATTTTCTATAGTTATTACTGTTTGGATTTCCTAGGAATGCTTCTGCTGTAGAGAGAACTTTTTGCGTGAACGACTAGTGACCTTAACGCACTGCTACGATCCCGATGGACTCAGGCTTGAAGACGAAGATCATGCAATTATGGAAGTTCGTCTACGAGAACCCGACAACTGCAAATGTTACAAATGTGGAGACTTCAGCCGATAACATTTTAAATGCATGTGTTATTTTACTAAGTTTATATCTTTGTGGATAATTGTACTTAATTTACTAACATGAGAATTTGTGAAAAATCATTGTTGAGGCCATTTAATGATATAGTGTGATAACAAAAAAAATCTAAAAAAAATAATAATAAAATGTTAGCAATATATAGTTTATTAATATAATACAATACTTACTAATATAATCAATACCTAGGAATCTAATTATCAATTTTTTTATCATACTAAAACAACTGTAAAATTTACTACCTACTCACATGAACGCCTGCAATACGACTACCTATAAAAGCCCTCATACTACCACAGCCCCACAAAGTATGTATTCTTTGATGTCCATTATGCTGTTCATGTCTATAGACGGCGGTTACCACTTTCTATCAAGTGGGCCTTCAACTTATTTACGTTTTTTAAAAATTTTTATTACAATCCTATATTTTTAGGGTTCCGTACTAAAAAGGTACAAAAGAACCCTTATTGTGCGACCTTATCCGTTGGTTCGTTAGTTCCCTCTATCACAATGCTATACCTCAGCAACTCTTAACGTTATCGGTTACAAATTTGGATTGGTATTACATATTATTGGCCCACACATATTACAATTGAAATAATTGAAAATATATTTTTAATTTCTTTGATAAGAACAAAAGTATACTTAAAATTTCAAAATGAACCTACTTATAAAAAAGGTTATTTATATATTTTAAGACTGATTTTTATTTATTTCATTTTGCGTACTTTTAATTTAAATTAAAAAAATAAACATTCGCGCTCTCCCTCCTAGTCATCAGAGATAATGGAGCTTGTGAAGCAAAAGATCTGAAATAATTACAACGAAATTATCACCAATCAGTTCATCGACTTATGCACACAAACAATCAATTTAAAGGTAATTAATAAGATCTAGACACGACAGTCCACAGTCACTTATTTGCAGTCATCATTATCAACATCTCAACCATTATCCGTCTACTGCTGTACATAGGCTATAGACCCCTATAGCCCTATAAACTGCCATAAAAAACGGGCCTGAGCCACTTATATCTACTGACTCTCTGCAATGCATTTGAGGTGATCGCTCCATCTAGTGGGGGATCGCCCTAAATTGCGTTTGCCCGTACGAAGTCGCCACTCAAAAACCTTTATTCCTCATCGGTTTTTCGAGCTATAACTAGCCCATTGCCACTTCAGCTTGCTTATTCTTCGATCTATGTAGGTTACTTAGGTTCTTTTGTGAATAGCTTCATTTCGGATTCTAACAAGCAAAGAAACTCCGAGCATAACCCTCTTTGTAGCTCGCTATTAAGGTCATTAAGTATAGTATTCAAGTCCTCCAAGAACTCCGCCATGATTACTATATCATTGACAAAAGTAAATGATGTATTCGCCATTGATGTATATCTATGACTATATCTTTTCTAGTCCAGTAATTTAAAAAACATCCTTCAATGCAACTGTAAAAACGTTTTTGGAATGTGACATCATCCGCTCTTACACCTTTTAGCACTGGGATGGGTTTCGTACCCTGGTTCTGTACTCGGATAGACATCGTAGCAATAATTTATAGTAATAAATACACTTCTAAACTTCGATATACCTATGGCCAATCTGGCACCACTGAAGGGACTGTAGTACCACCCATGTCCTGACCAAATCAAAGGCTTTCTTATTGTCCACAGACGTCATGCATAGTGGCAGATTATATTCTTCGGTCTTTTGAATAATCTGTTGTAATGTTGTAATGGTATATGATGCTAAAGCCTTTTTGGAAGCCAACTTGTTCGGGATGCTGGAAGTTATTGAGTTTGTACGTAAGACGATTGGTCAGGTCTCTCGAAAATAGTACATAGACGTAATTCAGAAGGAATATCGGTCTGTAGTTCTTCGATAGGGTAAAAATAGATGACGGTCGACACTCATTTATTTGCTTATCTATTAATAATACATTGTATGAAACTCGACGATAATGACTGTTCGTCCTTAAAACAGACAACCAGCCAGGAGTTGTCCGCTCAGATGGCGGCTACCTAACCATCTTACTAAAAGCTCCTGGTCGTCCATTCTTAAACTATGCACTGTTAATAATTATATTGCACTCCAATTAACAGAAACGATTTAATAAAGAGTGCACCCATTATAAAAAGTATTCCGTCAACAGTATACGATTACTAATGTCAGCCGACTACTAATGTCACCCGACTACTATTATCATTCGAGTACTATATTAGTATATAATATATAATTCAGTATTAGTATATATAATTCATTAGCAGTGGTTAATGTACGAATCGACACGAAAATAGCCAAGTCGTCACGATCGTTGGTTTTTTGATAAGAGTGTTGCCAATTTAAATTTAATATAAATGACTATTCGTCAATAAAAGTATAGTTTTTATAGGAAATTGCGAAAATATCGTAAAATTAATATTTCAGTATTTGATGACATTTTTTTTCGTAGTCGGCTTTTATTATGATGGGATGATAATGTAGCAGTAAAGGATACAGACGGTAAAAAGGACTTTGTTGTAATTAGCTACTAATTGGTAAAGTCATTGAATACAGAAATTAGTATATTAATAATTAATAGTCGAAATATAAAATTAGTTTTTACTAACGAATTCACACGATTCTGTTATTCGATTAACAAAATCATTCGAATTCGCGCATCGCTACCTCAAAATCAATTTCTTTGAAAACAGGAACAAGAACTAGTCAAGTTTTAAAATGTCTAAATCAAAAGCATTATCTAGATATTATGCTTGATCTATGATTACCTAGTACAGAGTAATATACATAATTAATCACCATAGATAGTATGTAATTTAAGTGTCGGCACTACTTTTATATTGATGAAACCTGAAATTGTATCAATGCAACCATTGCACCATATCATCATGTCACCCCTTAATTGTCTACTGCTGAACATAAGCTTCCCCTTTGGGGGTTTTTTCATTAGTTGCTACGCTTAGTACGGGTATTGTCAACCGCAGTTAGCTTTTAGAGATGCTTTAAGATGGATGCTGCTGCCCGTCCTTCGTCCTCCCATACTTATCTCTTACGAGACCCACGGGAAAGGAAAAGATGGCCTATTTTCTATGCCCGAACCACAAGATCAAACTATTTAGTACTATCAAGAAATTAATATAAATTAATATTCATAATTTATAACTTTCATAATATACCTCTTATCAAAATATCCATAATAATAGGTTTATTATAAAACCTATTTTATATTATAGTATAAAACTAGTGACCCGCCCCGACTTCGCATGAATACAGTGGTGATACTAAATGGCACTACCGGCGACCGACCGGTACAGTCGCAACGGCTATGTCGCTGGATTTTAAATCTGTAATATCTTTAAAAATATTCATCTAAATTACATACTGTAAAGGACCATATTGATCTATATTAAATGCACAATGTACTTAAGGTACTTAATTGGATAAGGATTAATGCTGCATTACTTAAAATCGCTTTGTAAATAAGTAATTATTCCTGGTAAAAAGTAAAGGATGAAAAATTGTTATTGTGGTTATCTCTTAGAGATAGACATATACCATCGCAGACTTTTTTGTAGACCTTCTTAAGATATATAATACTGTAGTACATTATTTTGATCTATTTTGTAGTGTTCAGCCAGCATTTGCAATGCAAGTGCAAAAAATGTGTTTAATTACGCCATCACATTAGAAACCTCTAAAATTAACGAGTGTTTCTCTACTATATTATGATATAAACCTTCCTCTTGAATATCTCTATCTATTAAAAAAAAAATCTGTTGCGTAGTTTTAAAGATCTAAGCATATATAGGTACAGATAGCGGGAAGCGACTTTGTTTTATATTACATTTTGTAGTGATTTACAAATTCAATGAAATAGTTGCATAGATAATATACAAATTTTTTTAATTCGAAATGATTGACGTGGACTAACTATCTTACCTTCATTCAGTTCGATCTTAACTGAACTCACCTTATTTTTAAATAAATACCGCTGCAAAATACTAAACCAAAAAATTTTACATACATCGACCAATATATCTGTTTAGGTTATGTGTACAACGTTTACTGTATTATAAAGAAGATTGTATTTGTTTATTATCTTGTGTGTGCTCTTATTCAGTCTTGCTTCATAACACATGATGGCTATCGATGAAGGAATAATAATATTTTTAATTTTACTTTTTTCATGGGGAGAGTACCTATGGGAATTATATCTTTCTCTTAGACAGGTAAATATTCTATTATAATAATTTATCCTTATTTTGTATAAAATTGATCTATTATTCTCCTATTACATCTATAATTTATTGATTTAGAGAACCCAAAGAGATTTTTATCGTAAAAGGCTATTTATGATTTTATAATAATCCTTATATGAATTAAGTAATAATCCTTCCTTTGTTAACTAAATGTTATAAACTTACATTACCTACATATTGTTGTGTCTATCCAATATGAGATATAAAAATAAACCCTTGGAATACAGTACAGCCATATACACATACAATACAGCATTGGAACCAAAATTATTTAAAATTATAGTCCTAACATCCAACCCCATTTTATGAGTATTTTTGTATATTAAGTGCATGACCATCAACAGGGAATCCATTCTTACATACTAAAAACAAATGGTTGTGTACATTCAGAGGAGTTTTCTCCTGTGAACACTCAGACTGTAAAATGAGCTCCCTGCTAAGGTTTCCCCTAGAAACTGCATTTTTGTAACATACACATATATATTAGATTCTTTAAAAAGTGTATTAAAGATTCTCAAGTATTGGCAATGCACATGCGACACCCCTAGTGTTGCAGGCATCCATAAGCTACAGTGACTGTTTACCATCAGATGGGCTGTATGCTTGTTTGCCACCTTAATGGTATAAAAAAATAGTTTGTAGAGAGATATATACTTACCATTATGTATGTTTACACTTCACAGTTAACAGAGTTATAGTATTATAATTCTAATGATAGTAATAAATTTTTATGTCATGCGTTAAGTACATAATATAAGATATAAAATTTAATTTATTGTACAATTATTCTTCATTGTAATTAAATATTTTTTTACAGTTGAAAATATATCAAACAAACAACACTATTCCCAATGATTTAAAAGAAATGTTAAATGAAGAATCTTTTAAAAAGGCAAGATTATATGGGATTGATAAATCAAGGTTCAAAATAGTAAAGGAATTTTATAGTATAGCACTAACAACAATAATTTTGTATAACCGCTGGATTTATGTTGCTTGGAACAAGTCAGAAAATATTGCTGCCATTTTCAATATTGCACCTGATAGGGAAATACTAATAAGTTGTGTCTTCATGTCCTTTGTAACACTATTCAATTTTATTGTAAATATGCCATTCACAATTTATGGTATATTTGTGTTGGAAGAAAAACATGGTTTCAATAAACAAACTGTGGGCTTCTTTATAAAAGACCAAGTGAAGTCACTATTGTTAAGCCTTGTAATCACATTGCCAATCATATCTGTGGCAATTTACATCATTATGCTTGGTGGTAATATGTTTGTTGTTTGGTTGTGGTTGTTCACCACAGTTGCTACTTTAATACTTTTAACTCTTTATCCCACTGTTATTGCACCACTATTTGATAAATTTGTTCCCTTGCCTGATGGTTCTCTCAGGACAAGTATTGAAAACTTGGCCTCAAAATTACATTTCCCATTATCTCAAATTTATATTGTTGAAGGCTCTAAGAGATCTGCCCACAGTAATGCATATTTCAGTGGTTTATTTGGTGCAAAGAGAATTGTCTTGTTTGATACATTGCTAGAAAAATATGATGAGGAGAAAAAGAAAACAACTGGTTGCACTGAAAGTGAAATATTAGGTGTTTTGGCTCATGAATTAGGTCATTGGAGTTGCAGCCATATTTATAAATCAATTGCATTAACTGAAGTTAATTTGCTCTTGCTATTTACTGGATTTGGATTATTATTCAAGTATTCTATGCTGTATACATCACTTGGTTTCCCAACAAGTCAGGAACCCATAATTATTGGCTTAATAGTAGTTTTACAGATGGTATTGGCTCCATACAATTCAGTTTTGTCATATTTTGCAACAGCACTCTCTCGTAAGTTTGAGTTTGAAGCTGATAACTTTGCTGTTTCATTAAATTATCCTAATGAGTTAAGGTCATCCCTTATAAAATTGGGCAAGGATAATTTGGATTATCCAATTTATGATAAACTTTATTCTGCTTGGTATCATTCCCATCCAACATTACTACACAGAATTGAAAATATAAAGAATCAATCACTAGATAAGAAACAAGATTAGCTTATTATCACTATAGAGCAAGGTATTTTTAAGTATACAATTAAAATAAATGTTGTTATTTGTATGTTACAAATAATGTTAATTACATATTTTCTATACTTTCTTTTCATTTCAATATATTCTTTTTTATTTTGAAGGCATCTTTATGTTGCCATTTTATATATATTAACTAATATCAGAAAATTAGAAGGTTATGTAAATAAACCTATTTTTTTTATATGTAGAATACATAATCATTTATATAAACTTTATGAATACAGGGTGAAATTGAAATAGTTTGTCATCATTTTATGTCATTGTTTGTCAATGTTATGTTTTAGGTTCTATCAGTGAAAATTAATGATTTTATCAAAGGAACATGGGTGGAAAAACAAAATATTTTAAGCCTCCATACTAACATGGCGCTTCCATCTTTTAAGTTATTATGAGAGGTTCAACATTTTTCATCATACCTTGCCTTTAAATGTCCACTGCTCTCCCATACATAGGGCTTTGCCAATATCTGCCACGCTTGGCAGGCGGGTTGGCACCTGCAGTTAGGCTTTTGTGATGTGTTTAAGAGGGACACTCCTGCCCATCCCTTGACCTTTAAATTTTTGATCAAAATTTTTTGTCACTAATTAACGAAATTACCGACCTAAAATAATCTACAGCGTTGGTAGATTCTTTAATTTTACATACTGCTATTTATTTCAATTTCACCTGTATATTAGTGAATTGATTATGTACAATATTACTTAAATTGTCTATTTTAGTCAGTAATCAGGTATTGACCAAAAATCTTGGAAATGTAATATTAGTAATAAATAACACATTACTATTACTAATTATGATATTACATGACAATATTCATTACCAGAAAACACAATAATTAGCATTTATTTTATTTTTGTTTTTTTCAAGTTCTGTATGTGTAATGTGATTTGTGTAATGTATAATTAGTTATTAGTATAATTTATAATTATCTATTCATAAATAGACAAGACTAAAAATATTAATATGTATTTATTTATAAAACTAGCTATTATATTCATTGGATAACTTTTTTCAAATAAGGACTAAAACAGACCTCCCAGTATCGGTGTAAGAAAATTATTATTTTGCAGTATTTAATGCAAATCGCTGCTTAGTTTTCAACATTTAGATATTACTTTTAACTAAGCACGGAATGTGTTTAAAGGTGTGCCCAGACGAAAAATCTTCAACAATCTTTTTTTTTTTAATATTGGCACATAAGATTTAATTATTTCATCAAAAGACCCCGGCTAACACAGCATGGAAGTTTTTCTTCCAAATTCCAAGGTCGCTCGTCTGCGCAGGCCCTAATAAAGGTTTTTATAGTTGTAGTGCACTGTACAAACGACTGATCTAGTGAAATTCAAGGAAACGCGACTGTGAAGATCACTACAACACGTATGATAAGTCTCCCGTCACCACTACTTCACTGATGCTCAGTGGATATACTCTATTGTTTTCAAAATGTCATTGCGATCTGTAAAGACACATAGTCGTTTTAGAAATGTGATATAACTAAGTACATTGTTATTGCATTAACGAAAATGACTTAGTATAATTGCTGTTAATAATAAACAGACTGATTACTTATTTCCATTTAGTTTTTTATATTGTAATTCAGGAATATCATAAGAGTAGATATTCAATATATATACCTTGTATGTAATAAAACTGAATAAATTTTGTACATCGTGTCTAATATTTATGGTTTCGATAGCCCCTCTGTAATGTACACGTAAATTTTTTTGTCTTTCTGAAATAAAGTTTAATAAAAGTTAATAAGTAAAGGAAAATAAAATATTTAAATATAAATAAAATATAAAATAACAGGGCGGAAAAACAGAAAAATTATAGGTGATAGGAAAGATTACTTAATATCTCAAATGAATGGAGGAGAAAAATAAATCACGCCGACTTCAAATACAGGAAAGTGAAAAGAGACGGGAAAATGTTGAAGTACCTTATTATATGACACTTTCTGCTTGCTCAAGAGTGTCTGGCAATGGGAAGTTTTTTGTTTTAGGCAGATGCACAATATGCAGCATTTGAGCGAAGGAAGTAATCGCCCGTAACATGAGTGGTAGGTCTGGTAATACTTCGTCCAGATTGACTACTATATACTATATATCATGTTACCATCGCAGCGATACGAGCAAACGTAGTAACTACACCAGCGCCTGCATTGCGTCCTAAAGTCGGAAATAATTCCCCAGAGAAGAGATACAGTGCTGGTACCGTTCCCTGCTGAAAAATTTATGAAAAGGAACCCTTGTAATATTTTTTTTTCTATCTGTACTTGCTGTTGGGCACAAATAACCTTGACAGCTTCACCGATCGCGTGTAGGGGCGAGTACAAATGACTAAGCCAGCGAGAGAGGAACGACAAAGTATCGACTCTTACCGATGGATTGCGCCGTTTGCCCAAAGGCGCTAGAACGGGTCCTCGGACCTCGCCTTAGGTCGTCACACGTCGACCCCCCATCGAAAGAACGGAGGGTCGATTGAATTCGAGGAGAGAGGGTGGGACATCGAATAATCCGACTATGCTAAAATTTAAAGTCAGTGTAACTTAACAATTTGATTTTAGTGAATTAGTTATAAAAAATATTCAACAAAACACTAAAGTAAATTTTATTGCAACTAAAGTTTAGTTTATTCGATAAATTAGCCTTTTTACATTATAAACAAAACTACAATCGATTCATATCTTTAGGTAGAAAGATTTTTCGTAACTGTACCACCTAATATACTATATCATACTTATTATCTGTATTATTATATTATTATCTGTATTAACATATTAACTAGAAACCTAAAAAAAAAACATACTGCCAATCCCGCGAAACCCACGCCGGCAAATAATAGCCTCGGCCAATCATTGGCAAATATTTAGGGGTCAGTAGTAAAATACGAAACACATTGCTGTCATGAACTGGGGGTCTACCATGAAATGAAATTTCGAATTTTCGGGCTCAATTTCGTGTTTTTGTTTGTATCGAAATGGAACTTAAAATTTCGTTCATCATAAATCCTATTCTAATTGTCCAGAGGAACGATATTTTAAGATTTTTAATAATTTTAAACGGCATGTATTATGTAAATTTAACATCAAATTTCTGTTTCGTTCGTTCCCGAAATTTCGGAAAATATTTCATGGTAGGCCCTCTGGAATATCCAAACCGCAAAATTTCTCCCTGTTTTCAATACAACGAAAATACTCAAAATTGCCCCAGGAGTTGAAATAATGCCACTTAACGCTACAGTCAAAAAAATATTTTACCCAATTACAGCAAGGTATTGTGAAAAGGTATAGAATGCTAATCCTGTACAAAACCTGAAAAAAAAACGTCAACTTATTAACCAAATTCGGCGTGTGTGACGTCACTCTTTCTGCTTTTGACTATGAAGTACCTACTTGTAATCTATAAAGTAATTCATGTACGGAAATTTATTCAAACAATTCAATAGTTTTTGCGTGAAAGAGCAGCATGATGAAAGTCAGTCGTAAGTTTAAATTTAGTTACCGAGTTATTTTAATATTATATTTAATAAGTTAGTTATTTTAAATTAACGAGTGTTTAACTCTCGTTAATTAACGAGTGTTAAACAATCGTTAATTTAAAATTTCTATCGACTCCAATGGTAGATAATAAATAAATACCGTTACCTAGTAATGCAATTTCCCCCGTTATTTAGTACGGCAATTTTGATTTACCTCTAAGAAGATTGTCAAAATAATGCTCACATTTCCAAGCACGTTTGAGAAAAAATTATAATTTAATCCTTTTTGCCGGGCAGCGGCCGGCAAAAGTTGTATGAAAATCCATATCTGTCGTGTTTTGCGGCCAGATAAATTACTATGTAAACTCATATCTATCCTGTAATTTAAAAATGGAATGATGTTTTACTTCGAAACATGGCTACTAAGGAGGTAACTAATAAAAGGTTTTATTTAAATTTCGAACTGGCTTGCAAATAGAAAGCTGTTTATTGAAAAAAAAAAAAACCAAAGGAATATTATGGCGCTTGAAAAATGATTATCCATCAATGTCTCAGTTGCTGGCCGCTGCAGTAATGTACTATTTTATTATTTTACAAATGTTATTAATTAAAAATAACGTCCATTGTCAAGTATTAATGTAAAATATGAAAAAATATTTCTATGTAATGGAGATTGTTCAATCATCGCGGTAGTTCAATCGCGATCAAAGTTCCGGGAATAGCTAGTAAGATAATAAATACACCTATCCCCCGATTTACACGGTAGATACGTTCCTGAGAAAAACGTGTAAATCGAAAATTAAAAATTTTCAAGTCAAAACCGTGTAAATCGAAAAGCTTGCAGAAAATGCATAATTTTGCTATTTAACAGTTGTGATTTTAATCAATATTTTTAGGTGTACACAGAAATAAAAATAAAATGCATTGACAGGTTAAAATATGTAATATATATATAAATATTAATTACAATACATTAAACGATCCAAAGCGATCCAAAATTTCGATTTTAGTTTCTAAAGAAATAACTTTTCTTTTAACTTCTTTCGACATTATAAGCCTATATTTTTTTTTTTTTTTATTTATGTTAATTTATAAAAATCTTAATTATGCACTCACTTGTAATTTACGAATATGAAAAATTAAATCTTTCTGACACTGTGAAACTTTCACTCAAATACAATTTTCCGTAGATAAAACTTTAATTTTATGCGAAGAAATACAGACACAGTGTGCATGTGCAGCAAGTCAGCATATAAGCTCGGGATTCCCCGTGAGATGTGTACACAGCGCACGTGTTCAAACACAGTAGCATTTAGTAGAGTGCGATAAAAACAAAAAAAAAAACTTATTTGGAAAACCGTGTAAAAGCGAAAACGTGTAAAACAAGTACCGTGTAAATCGGGGGATAGGTGTACATATATGAACCAGCCAGTGTCTGGTACATACTAAATCCCATTCGATGTTATAGTCCTGGTAAACAATGTTTTGTCGTAAGTGAAGTTAGTGTTCCGGACCAGTGGTATAGTATATTTATACAATGTAGGCGTCCCGATAAATAGGTCCGGGTCAAAGATCAAACATGGATATTCTTCGATTCGCTCCAAATAGTTTAATCTATATATATAAAAAATAATGCCACTTTTCGTTGTAATTTTATAATTCAAGAACGGGCTCACCTATCCAAACCAAATGTTTAGGCTTTATTCGGACAATTTAGTAGATGATTTATGTGAAGTTTGCACAAAATCGGTCGAGTGGTTCTTCATTTATCACATTTTTTGTAACAAATGAATTCAATAAATGGCGGATCATTTTGTTAATGGGGATTTTTGTGTCAAATTCTAACTTTTTTTTAAGATGAGGATTGTGCTGTCAAATTGATACTTTTTTCAGTGTTAGCAGTACAAGCATGTTGGTATGTCATTCATGCGGTCATTTAATTTTGGCCGTGCTTCGATTAAAGCAAATTGTCAGCGATAATTATTGCTTTGTGTTTATATTTTTAAACATATTGTTCAAATCGGCTATTCCATCCAATAGATATTATAAATTTAATAATTCATAGAAATAAAAGAAATAACGCTATCGCGTTGTACGTTATTCGTACCTATTTTAGCGGTGCGGAAGAGGGGCAGGTGGGAGCGGGAACATTTATGAAATAGGTAGCTAGGTAGGTACAGATAAAAATGTAAAATGTTATAAAAATGTCCACCCGTGCGCAGCCGGGACGGGCCGCTAGTTATTGTATATAAATTATATAATACGAGTATAAATTTATTAATATATGTTATTATAATATTTATTAATTATTTTATATTATATGTATGTTTATATAAATGTGAATTATGAGCTTATTTACATAATTTTTAATATATATATAAAACTGATACATTTCACAGAATCACAAAAAAAAATTAATGATCAGTCTCATCCATGATCCGTACCCGACCCAAAGGCCCCATGACACTTGCGGCATTTCCGCGTTGGATTGCCAGAGATATCCTTTGAGCCAGATACGAACCAGAACGGCGATCATGGCCCCTATCCGCAATGCGCAGACTCAACTCTTTTATGAAGGATTTTGCTTCCGCTCCCACACGCTCGTAGTCTCAAAAGCAACGGGAACGAAGATATAAGCTGGTTCGAGAATCGAGTATAAATTGTTTTCAACGCTCTGATATTTCTTTTAATTTTTCGACCGTAATTAAAAATCCTTACCCTTTGAAAGTAATATACTATTTGAAAGAGCTGAATTAGCAATTTTCCATAATATTCTACGATATTTTTTGCAATCAAAAGGGTTTGTTCCTTTGTTAAAAATAGATTACACTTACATCGTACTTAGGTCATAAGTACGATGTAAGTGTAATCTATCTTAATAATAATATCTTTAAAATTTTTAAAGAGAAATAATAAAGAGGCACCATATTCTTATGGTATATTTTAATAATTCAGGTGCCTACCTATTAATTAGACTAAATCACAAAAAAGCCGACACCTACTTTTTCCATATAAAAATTTAATCCTGGCTCTTTTATCTATACTCACAGTTATATGTGGGACAGCTAAGTTACTGAGGTATGTATTTAGTCGTCATCATAAATATTTTTTTTATTTTCTTATAGATATTTTACGGGTCCTTCAAGTTTCTTGTAGTACTATAATGGTACTTTAGTACTAATGGCGATGAGGTCAGATTAGTAACTATGACAATCGTATGGTTGATTCCTGGGAAATTCGTCATAATGGAACCAATTAGCCAAATTAATTTTCACCTATCATTCCTCAAACTAGCGGGATTATCATTCCATTTGCATCCATAATGCACACGCCTTTTAAATATCTATTAATAATATTATTCACCAGTTCTTAAATTTCACGCCATTCATCGTCTGAATATTTGATAAATATTTTTGGTTTAATACACCAAAATTTTTGTGATGGACGCAAAAATATTATATTTAATAAACTATTAGTAGCTTTAATAATGCCATAAGAATATTTATCCAACACTGCCATTTGCCGAAATCACCGATAACTTTTAATGTTAAATCACCTACGTTACATTGTGGTTTTACTTTTGTTTCTGTAAGTTAAACGAAATAACGTTCATTTAACATATTTCAACTTAACTGCTAATCTATTATGAAATCTTACAAATAGATAATTTCCTAATAGGAACTACTCGTATTTAAAAGTTGTTATAATTATTTATCAATAATTTTACATTCCCTTTAGATATAGGTATAGTTCAGACGTTCATGTATACCAATAGCCTAAATCATTTGAATAAATATTATTTAGGAGCCCTTGTCTCATTGTGAATACAATCGACTTTATTAATAATATAACTCTTATATTTACCTGTTAAAAACAAATTCAATTTTAAAATTATAGTTTTACAATAATTTTAACTTGGTGCTATAACTGTCCATATACCACCAGTATACTAATATCCACCGCTACATTTGAAGGTACATACATACAGTCTACATCATAGGTACGCTATGTTTCTCTGTACTACATCGACGTTTATGAATCTTTCTTAACATCATTTTATAAATTTATCAATTCTGTCCAATTAAATAAGTGCCTAGCTTATGGGCCCAGTGATCTGAATTCAAACAACATTAGTTTTTTATGTTTGCGGATATCCTTATTTAGATTTAAAACTCGCCAATTTTATAAAATGCAAGCGGGAGATTAACCAATCACCATGAAAGTCACTAAACTTGCTTCACAAAACTCTAACCGAGAAATATTTAGGTATCTGCTTCACGGTAGTTATAAGTAATAGGCACAGGTAGAAGGTAATTTATATAATTATAAAACATATATTTTCCTATAGAAAGAGAAAGCCAGGACAGGTACTATCCTTAATCTATGGATTTATTTACCAAATATTAGATTAATAATGTGATATTTTTATATTTATATTTTCTATTGCTGTACATGTATTCTCTTTATACAGTTTCAATAATGTGAATCAAACAGTACAATCGCAGTATGCAAAATTTTATTCTAAACATAGACCGAAGATGTCGGAAGAGAAATATAATTCTTTGTTTTTAGACTTAGACAAATTAAAAATGGTAACATTTTAGTAGTTGTCATTCTGTCAGTCAGTCAGCCGTTCCCAGTATAGGTATTTCTCGACTCGATTGTCTCTTTTTATGTTTGAGGTATTCGTTTTGTAAGTGAGAATGAGAAAAGGGTGTCGTTTATTATAATTGAATTTACATTAAATTATATTTATCCACTGAATGTTTATCATATATTATTAAGAACAATGCCTTTGGCCAATACTTCGGATCCCTGGCGGATGCAGAATGTCGGAGATAACACGGTATATTTAGGAATTTTGTTTGCGTAGCTAATTATACATAATTTTTGTAAAGGTTTTCCTACTTGTATGTTACTTATTACTCATTCTTAATAATAGTACTACAAAGATCAGGTAATGCTTGAAATATATATGATATTAATTTTTGTTATTATTATTTGAAAAGTAAATTTTCAATCGACATTATATATGTGTAAAAGATTTTGAGCATTGGTGAGCGCAATTAACGCACTTAAATGCAAAATTATTTACTTATTTGTCGTATTTGTCACTCATAATGTTTTTAGTATAAGTTTTATTTATGTATTTACTAATTTCTTTTTTGTGTATTTACTAATCACAATTGCGGAATTAAAAACAATTCTAAAGTAAAAACAATTCTAAATTAATGGTATTTTATTACTTAAATAATTGGCAACAAAATATCCTTAATTCACAAAATATGGCTATAGTAGTATTAAACAAAGTTATCCACTGACCAAGTTTCTTATTATGTATCTATATCTATAAAATTCCATTAAAAAACTGCTAGTGTTATTTAGAGTTTTCTTAAAGAGCATAGATTTTTATCATGAATAATACTCATTGTTGTCACTGAAACACTATGGTTGTAGCAGTTAGAAATTTTAAGAATTCAAGTAACAGTTTTTTTATACTCACAAAAATATATGAAAAATCATCAAAATATAATGATAAGGGAATTAATGAATTTTATTGCAAAAAATGTGGTACAATAAGGTCATATATATTATATGTAATAGTATTATAATGGTTTCACACATTTTGTCATTACTGACGTGCAACAGTCATACGTTCGACATCAAGGTGATGGTAATGTGGCCAGCCCATTCAGCTTACCTACGGACAATATCGATATATTTTATTACTTTCATCATAATGGCAATTCCTCCTGTACTAATACACTGATAGAGCACTAGTGAGGGATAATAGTTGAGAATGAAAAAGTAGGTCAGTTAACCATGGTGATAAAAACACCTGGAATTCATCATGATGGTTTCCAGGTAGGATTGTGTGGAGGTCTTCCTGACTAGATTTATTGCTAGCAAAGCAACTAGTATTCTGCATAATATGTTCTAATTATATGATATTGTGCAATAAAACGTGCTGTGTAGCTTGAATCAGTTTATGTCATGTTGGAACATGTTCTACCTACATTAGTACACTTTATTATTTAACAAAGTATAAAAGTACCCACATCAATATACATGACATACCTCCCCTCTAAGATAGTTAAATCAATTATAAATATAGAAAGATATTATGATTACATTTTAGACATATATAATACTAATATAAAAATATAATGACACTTAGAATAAGTACAGATTGTCTTTAAGATCTTGTGGTCTCTCATAAGGAGTTTTAGAATGCACATTTAACTTATTTTTTATTTTGCCTGTAGCTGGCGTAGCCAATTCAGAAGTTGGTGGGATTCCCAATATCTCAACCCATTTTTCAGAATCTGGTATTTCAATAATCCTCTCAGACTCTTGGCTGTTACTTTCCTGTTGTTCTTGTTGATGGTTCTTAACATTATTATCTGTGTTATTGGAAACTTCCAATGATTCAGATGTACCAGCAATTCCTTCTTCTCCTTCCTCCTTTCTTGATCTGTATCTAATCAACTGATCAATATGACGATTGATTGCTTTACCATTAGCTGTCTCAATTTTATAATTAGACGGTCCATTCTTCTGTAATACTACGCCTGGTAACCATTTGGGGCCTTGATTGTTGTAATTTCTGTACATTATCTTTTGTCCCTCATTAGTTTCTCTGTGTGATTTATGTTGATTGTGGTCAATCTGCCACTCTGTTTTTTTATGTTTCAAACTGTCTGGATGAATTGTATCCAGCAATGTCCTCAAATGTCTGTTCATTAATAGTTCAGCTGGACTTTTATTCGTAGCTGAGCACGGAGTGACACGCAGACCTAATAACAAATTTGGAATTCTAATGTCCCAGGATAAATGATCCATTTTTTTTAGTTTATCTTTAACTGTCTGGACCATTCGTTCCGCTAAACCATTGGTCGCTGGATGATAAGGTGCAGTAGTAACGTGACGTATATTATTTGCCTGCAGAAATTCCTTAATTTCGCCTGATACAAATGATGTGCCATTATCAGACACTAAAACTTCACAAAGGCCATGGGTTGCAAAAGTCGTTCTAAGCAACCGAATCACAGTGGTCGTTGTTGTATTGTTCACCATAAACACTTCTGGCCAACGAGAATATGCATCGACTATAATTAGAAAATATTTATTGTGATATGGCCCCGCAAAGTCTATATGAATTCTTGACCATGGCCTTGAAGGTGTGATCCATTCATGTGTAGTTTTAGGAGGCATATGTCGATTTTCAAGGCACTTGGTACAACCACTCACTAGTGATTCTATGTCTTCGTTTAAGTGTGGCCACCACACATAGCTTCTGGCCAGTGCTTTGGTTTGGACAATACCTGTATGTGTTTTATGTAACATTCGTAGAGTTGCAGGACGGAGAGTACTAGGTACTACAACCCGACATCCTAGTAGAATACAATTTTCTTGCAGTGACAGCTCTGTGCGATGTAACCAGAATGGGCGTATATCTGCATCAGTTTCTTTAGCTGGCCACCCACGTTGTATATAATAACTAACTTTTGACAAGATTTTATCTCTATTCGTCTCCCTGGCTATGTGCTCTGAATTGTATGGAAAATCTTCTGGTGTTTCAGCCATTAAAAGTACTTCTCCCAGCTGATGTTGAAGTTCCCACGGTACTGGCTGTGGCCATCGGCTTAAACAATCTGCATTACCTATTTCAGGACCTGGCTTATATTTTATCTCATAGTCGTGAGATGTCAAAGCAATTGCTATTCTAGTTAAACGAGGTGAAATCATATTAGGCATAGGCTTTTTAGGATTAAATATACCGAGCAATGGTTTATGATCAGTTATTATAGAGAAATTTCTTCCTGTGAGGTAATTTTGAAATTTGGTTATCCCAAACATAATTGAAGTAGCTTCTTTATCCAGCTGTGAATAACGCCGCTCATGAGGATGTAAAGTTCTGGATGCCATTGCTATAGGAAATTCGTCATTATCCTTTACATGTGACAATACTGCTCCAACGCCATATTCTGAACTATCACAAGTAAGTATTATAGGTTTAGTTATATCATAGTGCACTAGTGTTAAATCAAAAGTCAATAATCGCTTAGCCGTGTCAAACGCGTTTTGTTCTTGTTCTGTCCATTTCCACTCCTGACGTGTGTCTAATAAACGATGCAATGGCTCTAGTAGCGTCGCTTTATGAGGTATGAACCTCTCATAAAAATTATAGAGACCGAGAAAAGCTTGTAATTCTCGTTTGTTTTTAGGTTTAGGGGTGTTAGTAATGGATTCTACTTTGCTTGGTGCTGGATGGATACCCTTAGCATCTATAACAAAACCTAGAAACTCAACTCTTTCTTGAGCGAACCTGCATTTATTTTTATTCAATCGAAGTCCTGCACGTTCGATTCGCCCAAGTACCTTATCAAGTCTTTCTTGCATTTCCAGCAAAGTATGGCCACAGACGATTATGTCATCAATTAGAACTGCAACACCGGCGATGCCACCCAACAAAGATGTCATTAATCGTTGAAAAATTCCAGGACATGCCTTAACTCCGAAAGCGAGGCGATGTACGGTATACAGACCCTTGCAGGTATTCAAAGTTAAGAGTTTAGATGTTTCATCGTCTACGGTAACTTGTGTGTATGCTCTATCCAAATCTAAAGTTGTAAAATATTTTCCACCCGCGACCGCAGCAAAGACTTCATTTGCTGTGGGCATAGGATAGGTATCTGACTCGGTGGCTTCATTAACAGTACTGCGGTAATCTCCACACAATCTTATTTCTCCTGACTTTTTTATTATTGGCACTACTGGTGTAGCCCATTCAGAAAAGGATGTTTGGCGTAATACTCCTTCATTTTCTAATCTATCAATCTCCATTTCTATTCTTTGTTTTAAAGCAAATGGTACTTGACGAGCCTTAAGGAACTTTGGAGTTGCCCCTGGCTTTATGTGTATAGTAACTGGTTGTCCGCGGTAGGTACCGAGTCCATCTTTGAAAACTTCTTTATGTTTAGATAATATCGTGTCTATTCCATTTTGTTCAGTATTTGACACAAAATTGATATTCATAGTCAAGTTCAGAGGAGCGAGCCAATCTCGACCGAGTAGGTTCGGTCCTTTACCTTTGGCTACAATCACACACAAGTTTTTTGCGATGTTTCTATAACGCACTGGTAGTGTAACTTGGCCAAGTAGTTGGACTGGAGTCTCTGTCCATGTGCGTAGGATTAGTGAAGTAGGCTGTAGTGCATTTTGTGGCATCTGTTTATGTATTGTATGCCATGTTTGCTCATTTACTATAGAATAACTTGCTCCTGTATCCACTTGCATACAAACTGGAATTTCAGCAAGGAATGGCATCACTTCCAATGGCGGTGTGCGACCCATATTTGATATACAATAGATTCCATTTAAACAATCATTTGTTTCTTCCGTAAAATTTACATTATTATGTTTATTCTTCTTTTTACTAATACAAATTTTCTCCAGGTGCCCTTTTTTCTTACAGTATCGACAAATAGCATTTAAAAATCGACACTCTCCATTATGACGGTCGCCACAACGATAACAAAAACGAATGGACGCTCTTGACTGAACTGCATTAATATCCATCGGCTCTGAACCCGACGGTGATGTAGTGTAAGTCGTTCGAGAGAGGACAGGCGCGACAGTAGTATCTGCGGTCACGCTGGCAGATACTTGAATCATGCGGACATCCCGTCCCGCACTTTCTGATGATAGCATAGCATCCACTACATCTTGATAACGTAACTTATCTCGTTTTAAAAGTTCATACTGTAACCGTCCGTCACGCATACCACATACGAGCCGGTCGCGAAGCATTCGCTCTAAGTCAACGAAATTGCAGCCAGAGCTAAGTTTTCTTAATTGAGCTATATAGTCTGCCGCAGATTCATCATGTTTTTGATCACGTTTATAAAACTGGAACGACACTGATATTTCATTTGGTCTTGGACTGTAGTGTTTAGTCAAAACAATTTCTATTTCATTGAATGTCACTTCGCTAGCTTTTCTGGGTGTGATTAATGCCAATAAAGTTTCAAACACCCGCGAACCACACACTGTGAAGAAGTTAGCTCTTTTAGACGAGTCTGTTATGACGCCATTAGCCTCGAAACAAAATTTTAAACGGTCAAAATAAATGTCCCAATTGTCTGTTTGCGGATTAAACTCATCGAATTTCACTGCTTTTACGTCCATTTTATTACTTTTTACACTTCGTCGCCACTAATATGTTCTAATTATATGATATTGTGCAATAAAACGTGCTGTGTAGCTTGAATCAGTTTATGTCATGTTGGAACATGATCTACCTACATTAGTACACTTTATTATTTAACAAAGTATAAAAGTACCCACATCAATATACATGACACTGCACTACTAATGATCTCTTCCTCTCCTGATGATTAAGTCAATTCATCTGTCATGATTCATTTACTGTAGCTTTTCCAGGAATACAATTTGATTTACATTGAGGTCAACCTGATAGGGTATATTACTAGTAATAGGGCTACTATTCCCATTTATTAAAAATTTCTCCACCCCGGCTAGATTAATTTATTATTATAACCCTTTTAAAATCACACTGTGATGAATTGTTTATTTTGGCCCATTTGTTCAGAATTAGTAAAAATATTATTTAATAAAATTAAAAAAACATATTTACAGGCATACTGTGCCCCTTCTTTTTTAAATTGCTTAAAAACTTTGTTTTTATTTTAGCGTACTAACACAGGACAGTCAGCTAAGAGTCTTCCAATGGTTGTTGAAACTTCAGCAGAATCCCGACAAGCATCAACAGCAGAAAGTAATGACTCTAATGAACTTAACTATGAGAGAGAAGTGTTACTCCAAGATGTTGTCAAGGAAGGTCACGAAAAGGCAGATCCGTCTCAGTTTGAATTGCTCAAGGTTCTTGGTGAAGGTTCTTTTGGGAAAGTGTTCTTAGTAAGGAAAGTTAGTGGTGCTGATGCTGGCACTCTTTATGCAATGAAGGTAAGGTATATTATTTGCATTCAGAGTATGTGGAGATTTCTCACAGAATGTTTGATCTATATAAATATAGATGTAAAAAAACTGTGAAAACTAATTGAACCTGAAGCTTAAATATAGATATTCTGCACTTGTATATTATAATATATTGTTGGTTGTATATTATAATATAATGATCCAAATTTCGTAGTAATTTATTGTTCTGTAATTTTTAAATAATTCACTTTAACATATAAAATAAAAACAATCCTTAGTCTTTACTATTATTATAAATGTTAAAGTGATTTTGTTTATCATAATAATTGTATCTCTTGTTGTCTTAATGACTTAACTAATTCAAATTTTTGAACACAGCTGCTATATGAGATGGAGAACTTTTTATCCATGTCGGTGAACATATCCTGATCACACAGGCACAATAAGTCACAAGTAAATATGTAAAATGTTTATCAGGTGGCAAACAAGCATTTTGATCCATTTTGGTGTATAAAATAAAATAATAAATAAAAATGCAAGATCTAATGAGAATACTTTCTATCCTAATTCAGAATCACCATTTTTTATTTTTTTACTGTTTACTATTTTTTAATTACAACAGTATTTATTTATTTATTTAATAAGGTTCACATACAACTTTTACATTTTACATGCAACTTAATAACACAAAAAATAATTTTGCCTAATGTAAAAATCTTTTATATGCACAGTACAGTATTATAAATATAGTCACAATGATTTAATATTATTGTTTTAATTTTAGGTACTTAAAAAGGCTACATTAAAAGTAAGAGACAGAGAGCGAACAAAAATGGAAAGAAATATATTAGTAGAAATGGGTCACCCATTTATTGTAAAATTACATTATGCATTTCAAACGGCTGGTAAATTATATTTAATATTAGATTTTCTGCGAGGTGGCGACCTATTTTCTCGTCTTAGTAAAGAGGTAAAATATTGTGTTATTTTGAATATAGTACAAATAAAATAAATTTATAATGTTCATTTTTATTAATATATACTCATCATCAGATATTAGCCATCCACTGCTTGACATAGGGCACACACCACACCCCATAGACTGCCACAAGGAACGGCCCTGAGCCACCTGCATCCACTAGCTCCCTGCAATGCATTTGAGGTCGTCACTCCATTTAGTGGGAGGGTCGTCCTGCACTGCGTTTGCTCGTACGGGGTCGCCACTCAAGAACCTTTCTTCTCCATCGTTTGTCGGTTCTTCGAGCTATGTGACCAGCCCATTGCCATTTCAACTTGCAAAGAGACTCCAAGCACAGCCCTCTCCATAGCTCGCTGAGTAATTTGAAGCTTTTGCATACGGGAAATCGTGTAGCACCATGTTTTGGTTCCATAGTCATCACTGACAACACACAATGGTTGAAGACCTTCGTCTTCAAACTCTGAGGTATTTTAGATGAAAAGATGTGGCGTAGTTTTCCGTACACTGCCCAACCGAGTCGGATTTCTCGGTTAACCTCTCGGTCGAAGTTGGACTTATCTATTCGGCCAACTTTTCCTAGATATAAATACTCGTCGACAACTTCGAGCGTAGTGTTCTCAATTGTATGTGTGATATGGATGTTAGACTTTATTTTAGTTGTGTCCGTATTCATCTTACGACCAACCTATTGAGAAACACCATTGAGGTCATTAAGCATAGTATTCAGATCCTGCGGGAATTTTGCCATGATAACTATGGCATCAGCAAATCGAAAAAGAGTGATGTATTTGTCATTGATATTTATAACATATCTTTTCCAGTCCAAGAGTTTGAAAACATTTTTCAATGCAGCTATGAAGAATTTCGAGAATATGACGTCACCCTGTCTTAGGTACACCTTTCTGCACTAAGATGGGTTTCGTACTCTGGTTTTGTACATACACTTCAACACTTCGATATATAGTCAGTCTGGCACCACTCGAGAGACCGTAGAACCGTTCATGTCTCGACCGAATCAAAGGTTTTCTCATAGTCGTTTATGGCGTTTATGGCCAGACATAGTAGCAGATTATACTCTTCGGTCTTCTGTATAATCTACTGTAGCATGTGTATATGATCTATGATACTAAAGCTCTTTCGGTAGCCAGCTTGTTCGGATGGTTGGAAGTCGTCGAATTTGCGCGTAAGACGATTGGTCAGGACTCTCGAAAACAGTACTTAGGAGCGATTCAGAAGGGATATTGCTCTATAATTCTTCAATAGGGTATTGTGACCCTTCTAAACAAAAACAGAACTATCGCACTTCTGTTCTACGGCTCGGGTGTAACACCGTTATGGATAACGAAATTAAATAGCGTCTGAAGGACTACATGTACCACTTTTCCACCCGTTCTCAGAAGCTCTACTGTAATTCCGTTCTACCCCGGTGCCTTGCCGTTTTTAAACTGTTTAAAAGCCATTTCAATCTCCTGCAAACTAACGTCTGGGTATAGTATCGGGTAATTTTAGTTCTTTGGTCGTTATTTGCATTGGTATGCAGTATTAATGACGTTGTTTACAGATGCCCATAGAACTTCCTCACTCAAAATCTCGGATGTCGGTGACATTATATCACCAGTGTCGGTCTTTAATTTTGTCAGTTGGCTTCGCCCAATAGCCAAATCTCAGGCGAACACTGAAACCTTGATTTCGCTCTATTGCCTGTTAAATGCGTATAATATTGAACTGGCGTATGTCACGTCGTATACATTTGGATATTTGCCTATTAAGTTGCCTTTATTGACTGCCTATAACTGACGTAGACGTTGAAAATTGGGACCGTAATTCACGCCGTTTCCTCATAAGACCTTGAGTGCGATCAGAAAATTTTGTTGGGTTCTTTTTGAGCGTTGGGGCTTGCAAAATTTGTCTTCTACTGCTTGGACAGTTTCTACTCGTTTATCGTTGATATCATCTGCTATATCACAGTTCACCAGACACTGAAAGCGATTCAACAATTCGAGTTGGAAACTCTCAAAATTTTCGATAAAAGCATACGAAGGTCGGAGCGTAGACTTCATCAGACGAAACCTAATATTCAGGTTTAATGTGCCTCTTACCATTCGGAGATCACTTCCGGTTTAAAACCTGTTCATCACTGAAACATCATTGAACAAATAGCGATTAGTTGTCATAATGTATCTCAATTTTTGTGTATCTGTTAGGGCTAGCCCTAGTCCATTTTCTGTGTAGCTGCTTTTGGAAGAAGAAGTTCATCATAAAGAGACCCTCCTCCATGAAATCAGCCAACTGCTGTCCTCTAGGATTTCGCTGCACGATACTGTAATTCCCCATTCTCGTCTCATCGTCTTTTCTTGTGTCCAGTTTAGCATTGAGGTCCCGCATCAATACTGTGTATTGAGTATTAGTGAGTGTATGGCTCTTATAATGTTCTCATACATATACCAATATATACTTACAGAACTAGAATAGTTATGATGTTCTATGATTAAATATATATATTTTATTTTTAGGTAATGTTTACTGAAGAAGATGTAAAATTTTATTTAGCCGAGTTAGCATTAGCATTGGAACATGTTCACAGACTAGGTATTATATACAGGGATCTTAAACCAGAGAATATTTTATTAGATGCTGATGGGCATATTGCTCTTACTGACTTTGGTTTATCAAAATTACCACCAAGTAGTGACAAAGCTTACAGCTTTTGTGGTACTGTCGAGTATATGGCGCCTGAGGTTGTCAATCGAAGAGGACACACTTTTGCCGCAGATTGGTGGTCTTTTGGAGTTCTAATGGTGAGTATAATATTCAAAATTTTTAATCTGTGCAAACTTATCAGTGCTTTCTCTACTTACAAATTTAGTAAATAACTAAAACTTGATTAAAGCATTAATCTTTATGTGTATATTTAAAATCTGCAATAATAAGGCATGTATGTATTATTTATTGTTCTCGAAATAAATTTAACTAAAATTTTATATTTGTTATAATTCTGTCATATGGATACAGAAAATAGTGTTTATATATAAATTTTTTTTTAGTTTGAAATGCTTACGGGTAACTTACCATTCCATGGTTCCACAAGACACGAAACTATGACTCAAATATTGAAAGCAAAGCTCGGTATGCCATCAAATCTCAGTGAAGAAGCTCAGTCATTACTTCGAGCGTTGTTTAAACGAAACCCTCATAATCGGCAAGTTATCTTTACTTTTATTTCATATTTTGAAATGGCAGTGTCTATTATATCAAAGTGATGTGTTTGATTCATTACAAATTATATACAGTAATGCCCATATTTAACATTGGACAATTTAAAACAGGTTGGGTGCCGGTCCCAATGGAATTGAGGACATAAAACAACACGAATTCTTTGCAAATATAGAATGGGATGCTCTTTTACGAAAAGAGGTAATAATTTTATTATTTTACATTTCACACAACTACTTTTATTAAAGATTCAGAGTCAGATCAGAGAATTTACATTATTCGCTACACAAAGTTTCGATTTAAAGGGGGAATGCTATTTTTTCCTCACATTTTTTTTCATAAGTCAAAAATAACATAAAATAAATAAAAATTAGTTTTAGAATGTGTAAATGAAGCCCTTTCATATGATATCTCACTTGGATTATAAGGTCCAGTTTGGAATTTTAAGACTCCTTATTAAACCCCTGCCAAAGAAAATAAAAATACTATTTTAATTATTTCTATTGAAAGATGCCCCAATAATACATAAAAATTATATATTCTAAATTTTAAATCGATAGCTTCAGTAGTTGCAGAGATATATTGCTGTGTCAGAGGTACAGACTAAGTTACATTATACCTTCTTGATACAAATTAGCAAAAGATACAAATAATGTTCTAAATTTATTATATACTAGCGACCAGTCCCGGCTTCGCACGGGTGCAATGCCGATCCTAAATATTACAGCTTTTTTGTTATTAGACAATACAAACATGATAAAGTGCTATAGGGCGAAGCGTGGCTTTCGACGCGCAATTTCCAGGCACGCGCCGCGGGCGGGGTCGGTACAGCCGCACCGCTATGTCCCTACATTTTAAAATCTGTTATATCTTCGGAAATATTCATTTAAATTACATGTTGTACAAGTGGGCCACATTGATCTATTATAAATAGACAGTGTATTGTTGGTACTTCATTAGATAAAAATACATGCTATATTGCTTAAAATCATTTCGTAAATAAGCCATTTTTTCCGTAAAATATAAAAGAAAGAAAATAATTATTGTGGGTTATCCTTGAGACATAGACATATACCGTCCTAAACTTTTTTGTTGACCTTTTTAAGGTGTACAATTCTGTAGTACATTATTTTGATTTATCTCGTGGGGTTCAGCCAGCGTTTGCAATGTAAGCGCAAAAAGATATATTTATTTACAACATCACATCACAAACCTCTAAATTTATCAGTGTTTCTCTATAATATTATGCATGTATTATAAATATAAACCTTCTTCTTGAATCATTCTGACTATTAAAGAAACCTGCTTCAAAATTCGTTGCGTAGTTTTAAAGATTTAAGCATATATAGGGACGGACTGACAGCGACAGCGACTTTGTTTTATACTATGAAGTGATTAGTTTTTATCCGCACGACTAGGATATGTTTACTGACTGAGATAAAAAGTAGCATATATCACATATAGAACGAGAGTACACAATTTCATAGTGATGAGTTAAAGCGCTAAAAGTTAACAAACAAATAAATTCAGTTTCACATTTATAATATTAGTAAGGATGATTTTATAACAGCAGATTGTAAAATATTTCCATTATATTGTTGTATTAATTGTTACATTATTGACTAGGTGGTGCCACCATTTCGACCTGCCGTTTCGAGAGCCGATGACGCATTTTATTTCGATTCGGAGTTCACTTGTCGTACACCAAGAGATTCTCCGGGTGTTCCTGCATCTGCTAATGCTCATGAACTTTTTAGGTACCTAACTATACCTAACATACATACATACATATCTGTCACGCCTGTCTCCCATTAGGGTAGGCAGAAACAATGGAACGCCAAATGCTTCGATTCAAACAAACCTCTTTCGCTTCTTCCACATTCATCAATCTTGTCATACACGCTCGTCGGTTACGGGTACTTTTAATTTGGCCCTTCTTCAGCACGTCGCCTATTTGGTCGACATACGTCCATCTAGGGCGGCCCCTACCGACATTTCCATTCATTCTTGCTCAATAAATCTCTTTCGTAATTCTTCTTTCATCCATCCTCTCCAAATGACCAAACCAACGCAACATTCCTTTTTCAATTTTTGTCACTACATCGTCTTTCAGTCCACACTTCTCTCTAACCACACTGTTTCTTACTCTATCTTTTAAAGTAATACCACACATACTTCTCAAAGCTCTCATCTGTACAGCATTTATCTTACTTTCATGCTTCTTCTGCCATACCCACGATTCGCTTCCATACATGAGTGTTGGTGTCAGTACTCCTTGAATTATAGCAAGGCGAGCTTTGCTCGATACATTTTTACTTGACATAATCGAGAGCAGTGCACCGTTAACACTGTTTCCCGCTTTTACTCTCCTCTCAATATCTCTGTCACACTTCCCATCCCTCGTAAACAAAGAACCTAAATATAGAAACTCACTCACTTGCTCCACTTTTTCATCTCCTATCATAATCTGGCATGCCGTTAAACTTTCATTCCTCTCAAAAACCATTACCTTCGTCTTCTTCGCATTTATTTTCATACCTTTTCTTGCATACGCTTCATTCATTATAGTCACCATTTGTTGTAATTCATACTCCGACGATGCAAAAAGTACTTGGTCGTCGGCGTATAAAAGAGTCTTAAACAGAGACTCATTCATCCTGAATCCACAATTAGATCCTTTCAAATCGGTCAAGCAACTGTCCATAAATAGGTTGAACAGCCAAGGAGTTATCTTTCTTCAGTAGCTCTCTAAATCTTTCATTCAATCTTTCTTGATACTGATTTCGAACCTGTTCTTCTGTCAGTCTCTCTACTCTTACTCTTTCTATTTCTGACATACGAACACGTGGACGATGTCGCCATTTATTGAATAAGCCACCTATTCTCGATATCACCAAAAAGTGATCGGTTCCGACATTCGTACCACGATAGACTCTTGTATCCTTCACTTTCGCTCTCAATCGTTCATCCACAACTACAAAATCAATCATACTTCTCTCAGTTTGCCTTTGCCATGTATACATATGAATCAGTTTGTGACTAAACAAAGTATTAGTCACCACCAGATTTCTCTCCAGGCATACTTTTAATAAACTTTCACCATTTTCATTCACTCTTTTATCTCCAAACATTCCTAAATTCCTTTCATATCCATCGCGACGGATTCCCACCCAGCCATTAAAATCACCTATCAAAATAATTCTTTCATTCTCCTTACATTTAGTCATAATCTCTCTTACACTATCCCAGAAATCCTCTCTGACCTTTGGTGGCTTGGACATATCTGGGGCATAAGCGCAAAGGAGAAAAATACGGGTCAAACCAACTTTCAGTCGTATCCAGAGGAGTCTAGGACTTACAAATTCAAATTCTTTAACAGATGCATTCATTCTCTCTGACAAAATAACTCCCACTCCTTGGCTGCTTCTTTCAGAGTCATTAACTCCAGACCAGTACCCAGTATATCGGTCATAAGTAGTAATAGAGCAGCCTTTCTTTTTTGTTTCACTTACTCCTAATACATCAATTCTTCTTTCACTCATCATCTCACATACTTCGTCTATTTTACTATCCATACCTCCACAAACATTCATCGTTGCAATTTGGCATTCCTTTGCCCTCTTTTTGCCATTTGGGGAAACAGGGGAGACATGACGTGACCCGTGGCATAACGCATCGCCGTCGATGAGAAATTTGTCCCCCCCAGATACGATGGGACTGTCTGAGTTGCACTCAGGGACGGATTCTCCGGCAGTGCCGGTACCCTCCTGGGGTAGTTGCGTTTTAATTTCTCTTATCATTTTGAAAAAGAACTGCTCTTCTTAACATCGGATAGGGAAAGGAAATAGGTTACATTGGGAAAGGAATAGGTTATAAGGAAAGGAGGTGATAAGTGGAAAGGAACTATAGGAAAAATGGGGGATACTACAGCTACGGAGAGGACATAGGTTTTGTAACTGTAGTAGCTATGGAGGCCGGGGTTGCGTACCCGTATGCCCTTACTCCACAATCGGACAGATTAATAGAGAGGACATCCCATGACCAAAGGACATCCCATGACCTAACCTAACTATACATTATGTATCTCTAACTATATTTACTAGACCTTAAAATTAATAATTTGTCTATTTTATTTTAAATATAAATTTGTTTGTCTTACAAATTACTTAATTATATACTTAGACAGTTAACAGTAAGATAATATTGTTCTTGTGTGATATTTATAAAACACAATTCACTACAGAGTTGAGTGGACTTCAGATAGCTTGTATTAAAAATATGGAAGTGAGTCTGTCTGTGGTTTTGTTTTCACTCATTCAGATAGATTCAAAAGGAAAGAGATCATAAATGTAATAGAAATACTGCATTGACTTCAAACAATGACTATAGCATTTGTCTTATACTCCTGCACAAATTCTTATATATTTTAAAGCAGTAAAATTACCAGTTACAATTAAACTTATAAACACACTACTGTGTATTAAACACAGCAATGTGTTAACTGTCCCTTAAAAAATATTTTTTATTTATAAAAATAAAAAATATTAGTATCTGTAGTATTTTTGTAAGAGATATTGTTGTTGTGCTTGTTCATTGTAGTAGTTTTACCTCTGCTGATAAGCTTTAAAACTCACATTTCCGGTCGGTGTTACATAGAACAAATGTCGTTAAACAATTATCGTAGATATGATAAGATAAAGATACTGTAAGAAATGTATATAACGATTATGTAAACAAAATATAGTATATTGCTATTTTTGTAATTGTTAGTAATTGTATTTTTAATTCAATAACAATTGTATGTATGTTTTATCAAATACTCAACTTGAAGAGTATAATATTAAAGTAATAAATCTTAAAAGTTAAATGAAAATGGCTAATATGGAATAAGATTATAAATAATTGCATTTGTTTACTTATGAGAATATTACAAAAAGAAGACAGAAGTATCAATTAGAGAAATCCTTTACTTAGGCCTCAATATATTCTAATGTGAATGTACAAACTAGATAAGGTATATTGGGCCACAACCTAATATAATTGATATTGTAATATCATATTTATCCTATCAAGGAAAAGGTCGACAATCAAATTCTCACTATATACTATTGAGCTCTCACTATATGCTATAGTGACAGTTAGATCTTGATGAACTGTGCTACAGATAGCCAATAGTAACATGTAACTATTATTTTAATAAAATTATTCATGTATTACAGAGGCTTCAGTTTTGTCGCACCATGTTTACTGGATGATGATAATAACAAAACAGTCACTAACAACCAAAACCAGAATCATGTAGCACAAAACAATAAAACATCCAGTGAAGACTTTTGGGCCGGCTTTGTCAATAGGAACAATTTCTTTGATGAATATAGGTTAGTAAAATTTTTATGGTAGCGCTTAAATTTTTATTAGTATAAACATAATGCTAATTGTTGATATTGTGGCAAGTGTAATTTAGTATGTTTCATTATAATTACTAGGGACATTTTAATATAATTTACTTTTTTTCTAGACTAATGGGAGAATTAGGTACCGGATCATTTTCTGTGGTTCGCCTTTGTGAACATAAAACTTCTAGAGTTCAATATGCAGTAAAAATAATGGAGAAACTACAGTATGATCCTCGTGAAGAAATAGAGATTTTATTAAGGTATTGAAGTTATAAATATATTATCTAATGAATTTTAAACATAACACTATTTCTACTTACTAATAGAATATTACTATCCACATATTTTGTATGTTACATATTATGTATTTATTGTTAATATGGTACCATCCTTCTATAACTCGTAGACACATTTTCGCATAAAATGTTATATTATGAAATTGTCTTTGGGGTGTGTGAAAAATTTAATAAATATGGCGGAGGAAATTGTTCTGAAATATAAAGAAAATAAAATTAGAATTATATTTAAATACGTGGTTTTCATTGCTTGGCGCAAATGCTCATGCTTCACTACAATAAATATCAATATGAAAAGCTCATACACTTTAGTAGAGTACTTTTTGTAGTAGTAGTAGTTTTGTTATTATATCATACATATTATTCAATTAATTCTAATTAATAAATATTATATTTATTAGAATAGATGATATATTCTATGTCATTTAGGTACAGTCAGCACCCACATATAATAACGTTACGTGGCGTGTACGAGGAGGGCGATCGAATTCTTGCGGTCACAGAGTTATGCCGTGGCGGAGAACTCCTTGAACACATAACACAACGCCGCTATCTCCCGGAGCACGAAACCGCGCCTATATTAAGGAATGTTGTGCAAGCTATTTATTATTTGCACAGACATACAGTTGTACACAGGTGAGACCGAGATCTAAACCATTAAAGTATCGTAAACTTTATAACCGTATTATACATGTTGGTATATTATAGATTCCTTTAGAAGTCATGATAATGTTAACATTTATACAAACATCAAATTATTTAAATGGTGACTTGTAAGACTGTTTTCTACTTAAATCAGATACCAGTTTTTTACAAACAAATATTTAATTGCATTGTAAAACTGACTAAACTGTTTATGATCCGATTTTTACATTACATTTACTTCCTTAATTATACAATATTAACATATCTGTTAGTAAAACAATTAGTCTATTAACCTAAGGTTGTCTTGATAAGATTACTTTCAGCCATAAGACCGCCTTTTTGTACTTATACCATTGTATTTATTGTCTTGCTTATTTCCGATATTGTATAATGCAAACAAAAATGTACTCATTCATTCATACATTTATCTTTTGAACTAAAAAACTAGAGATAATATATTGCTACTATTCTGTTTTGATTACAAAGCCAAAACTATTTTAATTATGTTTAGCTAAAGTATATTGATTTCGAAATAACATTTGTAACACAAATAGAAAAATCTTGCGATAAGTTACCTATTATTATTTCAGAGATATAAAACCATCAAATATATTATTTGCAACGGCCGAGAAGAGACCAGAAGATATTCGTTTAGTGGACTTTGGACTAGCAAAACAGTTGCGAGCCGAGAATGGTCTACTAATGACACCGTGCTATACAGCCAATTTCGTAGCTCCCGAGGTGCTGAAACGAGCTGGATATGATGCTGCTTGTGATATTTGGAGTTTAGGTAGGTTTATAATCTATAAAAGAAGTACGGTTAAATAACTTGGGTGTCACTGCAGTCAACCAGTAAAACAGAGTGACACAGTAGTGCATCTATGAAATGAATGCTCTCGTTTATTTGCTTTTTAGTTTAAATAAAAAATAATTCAGGTTATAAATATTATTTCAAATTTGTTTTGCACCTAATTATGCAATATACAAAACGGAAGAGGTTGTTTGGTTGAATACTGCTTTTAAAATTTAACTTAAATTACTTAAAGAATGTCGCGATGCGACCAAAGGTGAAGCCACAGGATACACTTAATTATAATATGTATTATAATAATAATAATAATAATATAAGCCTTTATTAAAGAAGTAACATAATAAACAATTCAATGTAAATAATATTCAATCAGTAACTGTTCTGTCACCCCTCTCTTGTCCAAAGACAAAGGCCTCCTCCAGAGTCTTCCATTCTATTCTGTCTTTGGCTATCCTTGTCCAAAATGCACCTGCTACTGCTTTTATATCTGTAACCCATCGTGTGTCTGTCTGTCATCTGTCTTCCCTGTCTTCTTTGGCCTATTCTAGGGTACCAGTCTGTTACAGTTGTTGTCCATTTTTGTGTTTTTTCTCGCATAATATGTCCTGCCCATCTCCATTTTAATTTTTTTATTGTATAAATAACATTTTTGAATTTTGTTTTCTCTTTAATTTCTACTAATTTAACCCTATTCTTTATTTTAATGCCCAAGACACTTCTTTCTATGCTGTTTTGACATACTTTTAATTTTTTAAGATTTTTTTCAGTTAATGGCCATGTTTGACACCCATATGTAAGACAAGGTAATATGCATGTATCAAACACTTTCTTTTTGTCATTCATATATATATATTTGTTTTTCATAATCTCTTTTAATGACCAATACCTATTCCATGTATTGGCGATTCTCCTGTCAATCTCTTTGTTTGTGTCATTTGCAAGAGAGATTATTTGGCCCAGATATAAATATTCCTCAACATATTCAATGCGTTTTCCATTCAATGTTATGTTTTTGTGTATGCCATTTGTTAATACCTTTGTTTTCTTGATATTGATAGACAGTCCAGCTTTCATACTCTCATTTGCTAGTTCTTGAACCATGATTTGCAAGTTTTCAGAGCTGTCTGTGAGAAGAACTATGTCATCCGCAAATCGTAAGTGTGTCAAATACTCGCCGTTTATATTCAAACCATAATGCGTCCACTCCATTTTTCGTAATATCTGTTCTAGTACAGTTGTGAATAGTTTAGGGGAGATGGGATCCCCTTGTCTAACGCCTCTTTGTATAGGAAAGGGTTGTCCTGTTCTTTCTAATCTTACTTTTGCTGTACTCTTATAATATATGTTACGCAATAATCTTATGTATTTGAGTTCTATACCCTGCATCCGTAAAGCCTCCCATAGGGACTCATGTTCTAAGGAGTCGAATGCTTTAGTATAATCAATAAAACACAGGTAATAATCTAGGCTGTATTCATTGTATTTTTCTACAATTTGTTTAACTGTATGTATGTGATCTAGAGTGCTATAATTGCTTCTGAAACCAGCTTGATCTTTTGACTGGTTTTCATCCAATATTCTGGTCATACGGTTTAAAAGTACCTTGGAAAATACTTTGTAAATGTGGCTCATAAGACTAATTGGCCTGTAATTATTTACATCGTTTTTATCTCCTTTCTTGTGTATTAATGTAATTACAGATTCAGTCCATTGTATGGGGATCTCTTCAGTTTCTAAAATCTGATTGAATAATTTTGTTAGTTGTGGTGCAATTATAGGCAGCGAACATTTCAGGAGCTCATTTGTAATTTGATCTTCTCCTGGTGACTTTCCATTTTTTTGATTAAGGATGGCCTTTTCTGTTTCTCTTACTAATATTTTTGGTACTGGTTCTTCTTGCCTACATTGATAATTATTTTCTTCTTTAGTTAATTTATTACTAATTTTATGGGATGTATATAAATCTTTATAAAATTCAGTTGCTATATTTATAATTTTACGTCTCTTGCCTGTATTTTGTTTTTTATTATTTATCAGACTTGGTACCCATACTTTATATTCTTTTAGTTCTTTTATAGCCTTTTTTACTCCTCCAGTTTTTTCAATATGTCTTTTAATAATGTCTAACCTTCTCATTTTCCTGTCTTTCCGTAGCTGTACTGTAATTTTCTTACTAATGTCAGTAATCTTTTTGTTAAGAGCTTTGTCCCGTCGTAATTTTAACAGGAGTTTTCTTTCTTGTATTAGTTCATATGCTTTCTCTGATAACGAGCTTTTCGAAGTGCTTACAGTTTTTTGGACCGACACTTTAATCTTTCTAATAAAGGCATTATATTCTTCTTGCACCGAACTGGGTTTCTCATTAATATTACTAAGATTAAAATATTCATGGATATTTTTTGCTAAATTATCGGAGTTATGTAATTGTGTACTTTGCAACTTTTTATTGCTATAATGCTTTCTTGATTTTTTCTTATTAATATCTAATATATATGTTCTAACCATTCTGTGGTCTGAAGAGAAATTTAAGTTATTGATAACATTGACATCATTAATTAAATTTGGTTTATTACATAATATGAAATCGACTTCATTAAAATTGCGACCATTTGGATGTTGCCATGTCCACTTACGGTGAGCTCGTTTACTAAAGAAACTGTTCATAATTGCTAATCTATGTTCTAATGCAAAAGTTACAATTCTTTGACCATTTTGACTTCTTAGACCTTGACTATGTTGACCTATGAGTTTTTCTTCGCCAGCCCTACAGTTACCAATTCTACCATTAAGATCACCCATTACTATTAAGTAGTTATGTGATTTTTGAACAGTGTCATTTAGATCTCTGTAGAACTTAAGAATTTGGCTTTCATTTGCGTTTTCAGTAGGAGCATATACCTGAATTATTGTCCAGTGCACTTTTTGATTTGGTAATATTATATTTAGTAAGGCGATTCTATCTGATATTCCCTTGAATTCCATTACATATTTAGAAAGTGCCTTTTTTACTAAGAATCCAACACCATACAATCCCTGTACTTCGCCTTTATAATATAAAATATAATTTGGATGTTCTTCTATTTCTTCTCCTGTTCTTCTTAACTCACTTAATCCTATTATATGCCATTTTATATCCTCTAATGCTTGTTCCAGTTCTAACAATCTTTCTGGATCTTTTAGTGTTCTCACATTAAATGTTGCAATGAATATTCTATCTTTCTTAGTACTCTTTGTTAGATTTTCAATTCTTTGTTTTTGTTGATATTTATTATGTTTAACTATCATTTGTATATTGTGCTCTGGGGGGTATTGGTCTACATCCCTCACGATGACCAATCGGCTTGAGGGAGGGTTGAGTTTTTTGTTTTTATTATGCTTGTAACAGTTACTGATTTCCATTTCCTATGCCGAATTATCCATGCTAACTGCCTTAGAACTTGAAGGAGATGAATTGGATCCCCTTCTCATTACTTCAAAGGCATTTCTTCCTGCCTTGGATTGGTGCACAATTTGCTGTTTTCTTGGTTGTCCTTCATCGACTGGCGAGGTTGAAAGCATTCTTTTTTTATTATTTATATATTTTCCACCTTTGCTTGTGACTAATTTATCATATTTTATGTATACAATATTACCTTTCTTTCGTTCTTCCGCTACTTGCGCTTGCAATTCTTTCCTTTTATTAAGTACATTTTTTGGATAATCTTCTGTAATATAAACATTCTGTAATTCTTTTTTATTTTTCATAACTTCTATTTTCTTCCTTTCGGTTACAAACGAAATTAATACTGGTCTTGCTTTTGTGTCATCGATTCTTTTTTTCCCTATTCTATGTATTTTATTAATTTCATGGTCTTCCAAAGTAATTTTTAAATCTTTATAAAGTATTTTTTTGATGTTATCGACCAGTTCTATGTTAGAATTTTCCTTTTCTTCCAAGTTAAATAATATTACGTTATTCTTTCTCTGTTGTTTCTCTAAAATGCTTATTTTTTCCTCCAATTGATGTATTTTTATTTTTAGTAATGAATTTTCTTCTTGTAAAGGCTTTAACTTATCTTCCAAAGTTTCAGTTAATGTTTTAGTCACAGAATCGTGAATTTGTTCCGTTTGTTTTTCCATTTCCATTTTTAAACTATCAAACAGTTGCTGCAACGAGCTATTCATATTTTACGTGAATCGGAACGTTCCCTGTGTGACTTGATGAATAACTAATAATACTTGACGTTGATAATTACTTGTGACAGCTTTGTTAATCTACCCTCAGTGCCATACGAAAATCTGACGTTACTACTTTATTACTACGACTGTTTGTAATGACAATTTGACTATTGCACAGTGTGTCTATGTTCATTTTCAAAATAAATTCCGTTAAATTTCTTGTCTATATATTTATATATGTGATTGTGCACTTACTGTTTTGTATTTTTTGGCTAAGTCTTCGCTAGAGTTTCGCAATTTTAATGTTTATTGTGATGCACTTCCACTGTGTCATATACTCTGTATGCGTAAAGAGATCTTAATAATGAAAATCAGCAATTTAACAATTTATTAATGCAGCTTAGCGATATAGATGTTCACTTGTCAGAAACCAAAGACTATATAATGTGTATTATAGCTAGTTATATATATATTTATATACAGGTGTGCTAGCCTACATAATGCTTTCGGGTCGAACGCCGTTCGCTTCAACCGGGGATGATACACCTGAGGCGATATTAGCAAGAATTGAATCTGGAAAGGTGAGTATAATTATAAAATATATATTAAGTAGGTTCCAAATTGGATAAAATTTATGTATGGTATGTGATATCTTCATCAACCATTAACTGATTTGTTGACTAGTGATTATTCATGTACTTGCATACTAAGTGTGTATAAAGACAGTATTTATATACAACTGGACAATACGAATTTAATAAACATACTGTTTGTCGGACATTAAAAACAGTAAGTTCATTAAATTCCCTTTCTCCAATTACATATACAGGATTTCTGACCAACATTATCACAAATTTTTAAAATAATAAACACATAAACTGTTTTATTTATATATACTATTTAGCGATAATTTATGTAAAATGCAAAATGGGTAATTGCTACATATAGTTTTGAGAAAATGCTTGCCTTGGGAATTTCAAAGCAAAGAAATGTAAAATCTTGTTTTGCAAAATATGTATAAATTTTCTATAAACATCACAATATTATACGTGATTTGTCGTCTGCGGATATGTGATTTTATGTTAATGACGGTGTACAAAGGTGGACTTATCGGGCGGCGTATGGCGCGGCGTGTCTGGCGAAGCTCGCGGCTGTCTTCGCCGCATGTTGCAGCTGGAGCCAGGACTGCGGCCCACCGCCGCCGACCTGTTACGTGAACCGTGGCTCTCCAATGCAGTCGCCAGGGTGCCGCCACTTGAATCACTCACGGATACAGAAGCCCCGCCGCCTGCTGCAGACTTGAGACGGGCCGTCGATCTCACTTTCCAGGTTAGTTTTGTTGAAGAAGCTTGTTATAAAGAAAACGGTCATCTCAAGTAAAATGTCTATTTACATGATTGACTCTACTTGTCACTGAAATGATAAACTGAATAAAATTATTACTATATATTGTTACAATACTATTTTCAACATATTTATCCTTAATCCGTTTATCCCATGTCTATTTAGTATTGCATAAATATAAAAAAGAATAATATTGACAGTAATAGGAATTATTAAAATTGTTATATTACATATATGTCTACAATAATATTACACTATAATATTAATAATATAACATAGTGTGTATAATGATATTTATCACATTGTAGATACTAATTTTTTTTATGTAATTCTAGGCGATGACGTCATCACCATTAACGCCACAAGTATTGGGTCCAGTCTCACAGTCAACTCTTGCACAACGTCGCAGTAAACCACAGCGACGTTACCCACCAACACAACTATAGACGTCAGCCCAGGTATACGAATACAAGACTTGACTGGCATAGTGTACTAGTCATGAATATAACATACATGAAGGTTGAAAATAAGGCATTTGACTCGGGGGAAATTGGCAAGTCAATGCTAAAAATTGATGAAGCTGACGTAAATAAAACTAAACTTTTTACACAAAGCTACTTTTTATAATCACGCCGAATGTAATGACGAAGAGTAATCACCAGTACTTTAATTATATTTTTTGTTTTACTGTTAAATAAGATTAGCATTACAACATTCCATCTTATTATTTGGTTACGTTGAATTATATATATTATACTAGTTGGAAGTGTATAAAATGTTACAATTTTATATAAATGAAAGTTGTCTTCCTTCGAAACGCGTACATTTTAGGCAAGAAAACTCTATATTTTTACATTATTTCTGCCCACCTATTTGACTTTATAGTCCTTCTGTGCCATTAAATTTTAAAGTAAATCTTAATGGAATCTTAAATCATAAGATTCGAAGCTTTATAATCTGTCACAATAAGTAAATTACTATATAAATAAATGCATATAATTAAATAGGATTTTATTACATGTTTGTTTTCATACAGTATTAACAACATAATAAGATTATTCGTTATCATTATTGTCATTGTGTTATATATTATGATTTTAGGTCAAGATGTTATTTATATTTTTATAAGACAGTATCCATTAGAATTAAGTATTAATATAGATGTTAAGTACTATAACAGCGATTAATATATTCGCTTCGACTAATAAATCAAGCTAGGAAGAGTTACGTGGACTAAAATAAATATAACTATCTATATTGGCGTGTGAATGAAGATTTTTGTAAGCAAGAATAACTTTTTTGCATATTAACAATTGTGCAATGTACAAATATAATATAAAGTGAAACAAGAATCTAAGTCAATATTACTCTATTTACGTTCAATTATTTTCATATCAAAAAGGCCTAATACACTCGGTCCGTGCAAAATATAGTGTTCTGTTACCTATAAGGCGTAATTGTAAACTCTTGTTAGTTAAAAATACTTTCGCTGTCCAGCTAGGCTCCTATTTAGGAGCTATCTATTATCCTTCATATTGGATCTTCATATCAAAATGAGATTCATGCTAACATTTCTATTCTTAATGTCTGTTATTAATAAAAACGTTTCTGGAGATTAGGAATTACTTAAAATTTATTTTCTTCTCAGGATTAATCATAAGTACTTAATTTTTTTTTTATAAAACTAAATTAAAAAGAAGTCCAATTAACGATAATCGATATTAATCCCGCACTTGTTCATAAGTAGATTGAAATATACTCGTAGATTATATAAAATCTAAGTTTCTATAAAGTATTGTTTTATAAAGTTATACCTAGTCTATTTATTCGGCGGTCGAATTGTGTAATTTGGTTGAGAAAATTAAGTAATTTTTAATAAAACGGGTACAACAATTTAACCTTACTATTGGAAAACTACTAATATTATATTGTGCAAAAAAGATCCTGGATATATGTCCAACACATGTATCTTTTATTTATTTTATTAGAGAAATATATAAAATTCTTAGTTTTATTTTTATACTAGCTTTTTCTAACGGCTTCACTTACCTGTAGCATTTGGTTTTCAAAAATGATAAAACACTTTATTTCTTAGTAAAAAAACTAAATATAAAATTTCGCCTTGCTAACTTAAATTTAACAAATTTTCATATAAATTATAATCTAAATCAAATCATTCCCTATTTCACTGAAAAAAATGTAATTTTCCAGATAACATTTCTACTGGTTTTCAGTTCATTATAATGGTCAGAATTCACGGTTTCAGTAAATAACAGTCAACTTACAAGTCGCAACTAATCAAGATATTTAGCACTGTTAAAATAATTGTTTATTATTACTTAATAAGATTTAGATAAAATTGGCAATTTTTATAATAATGTACACCATCATCTACTTCTCCATTGAATATAACCCACCAATTTTAATTAATACAATTTTACTAATCCGTTCTTATCTTATCACCTATGTTTTATTCATTACTATATAATAGAATAATTAAATTAGATTATAAAATTACATTTGCATTTTATAACATCTATTTCAATAAAAAATTCTTATAGATATTTGGATTTGTTTGAAATGTGGTTTCTTAGATTCAAGCACTAGGTTGATCAAATCATATTTGTCCAATGTAGTTCGAATTTGAAAACATTTTACTAATTGGAACATAAAAAACTCGTTAATTGTCTTATATAATTTTCACGACACGTAGTAATAAAATGTGTAATCTATTTAAACAGGCAAAAATTTTGTCGTTTAGTTATTCATTGTACTTTTAGATAGTATAGATGGGTAAGTTAGTTTTTTTTTGTGACTATTAAGAAACTTATATTTTTTAAGATATTTTTAAATTATTTATTAGTGCTTGTAACAGACTAAAATATATATACTCTAGCTATACATTGTGCATACAACCTAAATCGTTCGTAAATAATATCGTTTTTAAATCAATGCTGGAAGGTGCTCAATAACAACATATTGTCCCACAATTTTAAGTGTACAGTTTTACAAATCCGTTATGAGGTATCAATTTATTTTATTATATATATTTTTATTACACTTATCTGACATAGCTACTGAGAGTTGTTTTCATAACAAAATTTACCATCAGAAAATTGATACACCATTATTCTTTCAACTCTATCCTTTCAGCGCTGATATATACACAAATATTAGCATTACAATTTTTTAAAAGTTACGACTGAAGATTCTGTTTCTATATGTAAAAATAACATGTCCATAATATTTGCTCGTACCTATAATCTGTAACAATTATTAAACTATTAATTGACCTCTAATTTCTCAGAGTATGAATTCGTAGATAACTTGATTTTGATTTTAATATTTTTGTATAAAAAAATTGTAATATTTTTGTTTAAGCCATAAGTGTATAATATGCTGTTGGAATTGGATTCCTCTGCCAAAGATGTATTTTAGTCAGAATTTTACATGTTTACCTTCTCTTTTCTATGAGTATTAATGATTATTTTTGTACCTTATTCATTGTAAATTATATTTTTGTATAAATCGATTTTATTACATTTTATCAATTGAAGGAATTGAATTTAAGTAGAATATTAACGTATAACGTGTAAGAATGGGAATCATTATATATAAAAATAATGTAAGTACCTATAATATAGTCAAATGGAAAATAATGTCATTGCTATTAAAAATAACTTGACATATCTGGCAGAAAATCTTAATATTCAATTAATTTTATACAAATGTTATCATAAAAAATGGTATGTATAATATAACACACAATAAAAATATTAATTACATCATTCCAAGAAAGAAGCTATTTGAGTACCTTGCTCTATAGTACGTATTTGGTTTATAGGCAAACTAAAACAAGTTTCTGTAGCATTAAGAATAATATATATTTGCAAAATAATATCCATGATAACTTAATATTTGGCCTATAACAAAATTATAGACACTTTCGTTTGTACTTGCATTATGTGGAAACTAGTGGTCAGATATTAATGAAATATCTTATAAGTATCAGCTTTAGCATTCTGAAAAACATGCCAATACTTGTATTCCTATAACTAAAACGGGTCCACAACCCATTTGGCCACATAAACTATCAAAAAGATTTGGTAGATTTAAATGTACTTTATTTATAGTTAATTTAGGTTTTTTATTAAACTATAAATATGTAGGCCAATAAAGGCTACATGTATATATTCTAATTAGAACAATTACTTATAACAGATGTACCTATGTATTTCTAAATAACAAACAACATTCATGTATAAAAAAAAAAAACTAGATGTATGTAAACTTGCTTTAATTACACTATACATTGTTGTTTTATAAGATTGGTTATGGTGAATTTACTATGAAGTCGAATATATATACTATTATTATTGCATTATACTTTATTATTGTAATGAATGTGTCAATATGTATAATTATGAATTGTTTTAAAATAGTATTGTATGTTCCTTACATTATTACTCAAAGCATTACATTTAACTGGAATCAACTGTCATAATAGGTATTGTAGAAATAGTATAAGTGTCTGCTCCTTTACTCATCAACAGTACAAAAACTTTTACAATGTGTAATGATCAGGTTTTGTAGATTAAAATGCTAACAATTTAGAACTTTAGATATAAGAATTATAATGAGCACTATTTCTTGATACATTCTGTAGATGATTTTGCTTACAAAGTTAAATAGCTGCCATTTTCTTAGGTCACTTAAGGAATAATAACACTATTATAAATTTGCCCCATATTGTCATAATTCAATGACAAATAATTATTTTAGGAGAGCTTGTTCACAGTGAACAGAGTTTACTCACACATTTGTTATTTAATTATAAAAAAATATTTTCATACTGACTCAAGAGTTGGTGGTATGTTAATATAGATAGTTTTTTCTATGGTAAATTGATAAACTAAATAGTTGTAGCGAAAGATACTACTGTGAGCTGTGAATATGACCACAATGTCAAATTGAATATTGCAATGCTTCATGTGGTCTCAAAGTTAATGTTGCATTGTCACATCCTTCTATTTTTCTATCTCTGAAATAGAAATAAAATTTCTAATAGTATATAATTACTATCAGAAAATTGTTATTTAAGGAAATTAATTGTGTTAATTAACATTATGTAACTAATATATTGTTGACATTGCTTAAAACTTTTGTTTAATTTGATTATTATTATGAATTCATTAGTTACTCTTCAATTGGTAGATAAATAACACATTTTTTCCAATAATGTATTATTAATTAGCAGGTTTGTGAGTATATATTTGATACCATGTTATCACTATGCCTTATCCCAAATACAAACTTGGCATAGGCAAATTTAAACAGATTAAGCAACATTTAAAATAAATTTTTTTTCATTATGCCAAATGTCTTTTTTCTAATATAAAAGATTTTGTAGCAGGCATACTTTAATTGTTTTCTTCTATGCCTAGAAAATCTGTGAATGGTCACATTGCATTAAAGACCTATGTAGATAAGAAGCTTTCTATTTGTTAAAGACAAAATTCCCTATTGTGTAAAGCAAATTATTTTTGAGGAGTAATTTTATTATTAATAATAGAAAAATATTAATTTTAATATTTTTATTTCATGATAACCTTACTATCATTATTTAACACTAACACCTTTTAGTGTTGAAGCTACAATTACTCCCTTTCCAGCAACAATTAATGGACTATCCTTATAACAGGCAACTTTTTCATTATTAGTTTTTAGATCTGGCACACAAGTTTCAAAAATCTTTTTCTTTGGATTCAGTTGGACTTCTGGCTCTCTAGGATATCCTTCACAAGTGACAAGGTCTCCTGGAATTGCTGTACTTGGTGGTATTAATACTTCAACTTTATCTGGAGATGAAGCACACATAACCATAGCCTCTGAAATTATGCCTCGCATCTGAAATTATTATAATAATAATTAATAACATAACTCATTGGATAGTCAATATTGTAAATCCATATCATTTTCTTCGATGCCAAACAACATACTGACATTGGATCAGATTGCTCTGTTACTCTTACACTAGTTTTATCCTTGTAGAATAAAAATTATTTTATGTCAAACTAGACCTAAAATTCGGATCATTCATTGATATTCCAAACTAATAATCTATTCAGTTGTTACGGCAAAATTTACTCTACTATGTTTAATGGTGGAATGTAACAAACACATCAAATTATTTATCAATTTGATATAATAGTAGGATAAATTGCAAAGATGTATGATTTAATTTTATTACTCATTGTAAATTTGTGTCCCTTAGGTTCAACAAAGAAACTAGTGGATTAATTTAAATCAGAATTTCTTAAAAATATCTTATTGTATATTTACCTTAACTGGCTTCAAGTTACAAAGAACCATGACAACTCGGTTCTGCATTTCCTCTATGGGTACATGATTGACTAAACCAGATACAACTGTCCTTGGACTTTCTTCACCACAATCTATTTTCTCTACATAGAGAGTATCTGCATCTGGATGTTTATTTATTTCTATAATTTTCCCAATTCTAAAGTCTAGTTTTCGTATATCCACTACATCACTAATAGTTTCATTTGATTTTTCCTTTATTTTTTTAACTGGCTCTTTTTCTTTCTTCTTGCTCTGTTTCTGAACTTTTTCTTCATTAACTTCAATTTTCAAAGGTGATGTATCAACTGTATTTGTAATAATCTTACCAGGAATTGGGTATTGTTTTTTACCGTTAAGAGTTTCAAGTCTGATAAGTTCATTTCGGGCTTGCTGTACTTTAACTGATAAAACTTCATTTTCTCGAGTGAGATCTTTAATTTTTTCTTGTATTTTGATTTTCTTCACCTCCTCAAGCTAGAATACAATAACGAAATATAGAAAAGATCTAAATCATAATTTAAAATTACCTAGGTATAGAATCCAACCTTGTATCGTAAATCAACTATTTTTTTGTCAGCTACTTCGGCATTGTTAATTAATTTTAAAGTAATACTCTGAGACATATTTCTTTTCAAAATATGTGATAACATGGAATAAGAAAAGCTTTCGATTTAGTATTTTAGTAAAAATATGCTTGACCGCATAAATAACCTCCGAGATTTTAATATTCTACGTAAAGCTTCATGACATGACATCACATCAGTTTGACTTTGACTTTATTTTTTATTTGACTTATGCACGAGAATGGCTGTCTTTAGATGTAGGATATAGTCTCGAGTCTATGGGAGTGGCGGCGGATGCAATGTGATGTAATTTTAAAAAGAGATAATTATAGATTAAGAATAGCACCTATCTAACATTCAGGAAAAAGCAATAGCTGTTTTTTTTTTGTCTGTTTTTATCAGCTGCAATTGAATTCCGAAGGCGGCAAATTCATAAAAAAAAAATAATTAGAATATGTATATCTCTCTAATATATAAAATTCTCGTGTCACGGTGTTTGTTACCAAACTCCTCCGAAACGGCTTTACCGATTTTTATGAAATTTTGTGTACATATTGGGTAGGTCTGAGAATCGGCCAACATCTATTTTTCATACGCCTCAATAATAAGGGTGACCTACCTCTAAATATTTTATTAAAATTTTTTGACAATTTTTTTTATTTCTATTTTATTATGACTTAGCATTGAAAAATACATACAGCTTCAAATTTTTACCCTTTTACAATCATCCTTTGTTTTTTAAACGCGATTTTTATATTCCGCAAAAAGGTTACAAGATGGCAATCGAATATAATAATGGTAGTTCTAGAAATTTTCATGTATAGTGTATAATTTGCTTGAATTACATCTTCTTCTCTCACTATCTATATAGTTTTCGACCATTTTTTTGTGTTTTATTTGTGTCTCGATCGTAGCAGTGACTGCAACTTTCATGTTAATTTTATTCTCATAGTAAATTTATTATTATTTTTAAGTTTCTATTAAGCGGTCATTGGTACTTTGGACAAAGAATGGCCGCATTGTCATTCACTTAAATTAAAAAATGAGCCAGTCGTTATATGTTGCTCTACAGGAAAGTGCAACTAACGGAAATTGAAACACCATCTGAACCATTGTGCGGCTTACTTATTGGTACAGATTCAGATTCTATCCTGTTCCTAAAGTCAATTCACACATTCAATTCAGGTCACACAGCATTTAGGTCTATGAGACCTAATTTTATTTAACGCACTAATGCGCCTATATAGGATGAAAGCAATTATTAGCAATGGAGTTTGACAGCCCCATTGTTAGCAATATGCCCTATTGAAACCATCGTGAACAATCCTTGTTGAATTCGTCACGATGGGCTAACTGACCTGTTTCATTCTTACCTATCATCCTTCACAGGTGTTCCGCCGGTGTATATCGATAACGCGGATGGGGTTACCATTTCATTATTATCCATTAAAAACGCACCTATATAATGGTATTGTACGCACAGAGCATTTCCCAGACCAATGAAAGGTAGGCAAAGTCCTCATGCTGTCTAAACCCGGTAAGAACTTATTACAACTGAAATTATACCAGCCAATAACGTTATTGCAACATGTATTGAAGGTGTTTGAGAAGTTATTCCTTAAACACATGTCACTCCGCATTCATCAAACCGAGGCCAGAGTAGTTCGGGTTCGGAGCTGAACACTCCATAACGTTGCAGTTGTCCAGAGTACTGCACCCTATAACAATGTTCCTCAACAAGAACGAAGAAGGCGTCGCAGTATTCCTGGATATCGAAAAGTTGTTCGACAGGGTAAGGCACAACGGTCTACTGTATTAATTAGTCACCCAGACGGACATATCAAGAAAGCTAATCTAAGTGGTGGCTTTTTTCCTCAAAGACAGGAGATTCATGGTGGCGGTAGAGCAAATCTGTTTGGGTGAGCGTCCTATTCGCGCAGGTGTACCTCAAGGGAGCTGCCTATTGAATACGCTCTATGTGCAGTTCACCGATGATATTTTAGTAGATTTTTTTCAGCATGCAGCGTTAAAAATGCAGAGCCAGCTGGACGGCCTCCCGCAATGACAGATGAAATGACGACTGTCAGTTAACGTGCACAAAACGCAGACGATCTTATTCGGCTAGAAGCAACAGCCAACCAAATTACTCCTGTGTAACTTTCCGATCGAGTGGTCCGTCAAGTTAAGGCTAGAATAGCCAGCCTGCCTCCGTTACTGACAGGAAACTTCCCTGTCAAGGTGAAAACAACAGTATACAAGATATACATCCGATCGCGCCTCATGTACGCTGTGCCAGCATCGTACACCAACTTGAATGCTACAAACAAGTGGAAACTACGAGCGCAATAACATATCTCGCTACGTACCATTACCATTGCACACAGGTACGTGAGAAATGTGAAACAAAAAATCTGACAGTGTCTTTAAATCACAAACAAAAACTTCTTTTTAATAAGATTAAAAAAGAAACTAAAAAGGTGCTCATGCCCAAATATGATCATATTTGTGTACGTGAAATATGTGATCATGGAACAGTAATGCACCATGCACATTCTATCGTTAGATGATTTATTGATGAAATTCATGATGACTCAAAACTTTCATACAATTTTATTTAACAATCATTAATTTTTAACAGTTAATAATAAATTTGTGGCGTATACCCGTGTAACAAACCTTAGAGCTTTTGAATTTTGTTACACGAGTATCCGTCACACCACTCTCGTCTATAAATTATTTATTTATTTAAGATCAGTACACATGTAACAAATTGTACATATTAGGTCCTTACATGTGAAATTAGTGTTTTGTCGTACTGGTTACTTTGATTTGAAATATTTACTCTTTGGTTAAGAATTCCAAATTCAAATTTATAAATTAATTTAGCTGCTACATTTGAGTTTGGAAAATAGTCATTCATTTGTTGTTTCCTTGGCATCGCTTATTACCGTACAATGAAAAACATTAAATATTGGTATATCTACGAGTATGAGTTCTAACGTGACACAAGTGCTACAGAAACAGCTCGAAGGATTAATAATGTGTACGGCGCTGGTATCACAAAAGAATGTACAGTACGTTTTTGGTTCCAACGTTTTCGTTCTGGAAATTTCGTCCTTCAGAAACAACCCCGTTAACGGTCGAAGACCAAAGTGGAAAATAAAGAATTAAAGGCTATTGTGGAAGCGGATCTATCACAAAGCATTTCAAAGATAGCTGCAGGCTTCGGGGTAAGTGATAAAACTGTATTAATCCATTTGAAGCAAATCGGGAAAGTAAAAAAAAACTTGAACGATGGGTACTTCATGAATTGAGTGAATCGAACTTGCAAACATGCGTCGATTCACTCTTGCTGTGTTACTTTGCTCAATCGACACTATAATGATGGAATTTTAAATCGAATCATTACTTGTGATGAAAAGTGGATCCTGTACGATAATCGGAAGCGCTCGTCATAATGACTCAACCGGAGACCCAGCCAAATTCTGCCCTAAACAAAAATTTACTCAGAAAAAGTTACTTGTAAGCGTTTGATGGACTAGCGCCGGTGTCGTTCACTACAGCTTTCTAAAATCTGGCCAAACGATTACCTACGGCAGATATTTATTGTCAGCAACTGCAAACCATGAAGGAAGAATTTGCTGCTAAACAACTGAGATTGGTCAATCGCCCCAGACCACTGCCGCTTCACAACAACGCACACCACTCATTGCACAACAAACAACCACTAAGTTAGATGAACTACAAATGAAATGTCTGCGACATCCACCGTACTCCTCGGACCTTGCTTACCATTTTAGATTACCATTTTTTCCGGAATTTCGACAACTTCTTACAACAAAAAAATTCAACTCCGATGCAGCAGTCCAAACCGCCTTCGAAGAGTTTATTAATTCTCGTCCCCATAGTTTTTTCAGTAAAAGGATTAATAAAACTACTTATGAAATAGTAAAAGTGCATAGATAACAACGGTGCATACTTTGATTAATTAATTAATTTATTCTTTATTGCACAATAAAATACAAATGGTGAACTTAATGCCATATGGCGTTCTCTACTCTATATATATATATATATATATATATATATATATATATATATATATATATATATATAGAGTAATAACAGTAGAGTATAATTAAAACAACGATAAGCATTATGAGATATAATAACTATTGAGTATATAACTATTCTACAAAACGCCACTTTTATATGTAAGGATACCTAATATTACGTAGTATTATATAACATTGTTAGAAACCAAATATTATTATGAATTCTATGCAATATATGATATAAATAATAGTGTATTTAACCGATTTTAAAAAAGAAGGACGCTGTGTGTGCCCCGGCATAGAATGGGCTATTCCTTCCTTTCCCGTAATAAGCGACTAAGGGAGGGCGAAGGATAGGCAACAGCGTTCCTCTTAAAATATCTCTAAAAGCCTAACTGCGGTTGCCAACTCGCCTGCTAAGCAAACGGTTGGAACTTTATGTCAGTATCTGTAGCAGGTTTTAATTTGAACAATTCCTCAAAGCACTCTCCATGATAAATTCAGTAAACGATACACATACATGCAACATCTGATTAATAATAATTCGAAATGCCCGGCTTTGTATGCGGTCCAACGGAAGGAAGTGATATGGTGGTGCTCCTGTCCACAGGGGAAAACAATATTCCTTATGTGACTTGAGCTTTCTACAATTATAAGAGGTGTTCCGATGAAATAACGTCTCACTAGTAAGCTTTACTTTTTTGAAATTTATGTTCATGTCATTGGCAACACTAATAAAAAGAAAAACTAATATGGCCGTTGGAACGGCGTCATAAATACTTTTTGACGTTGTTTATATTTTTGCAGAAATATTAAGTGTCTATTTATTAAATTGCAATATTGAGTCTGGTTGAGACTATGATGTAAAAGGAAAACTCAGTGTGTCAATGGTCTAGTGCAATAATGTATTAGATATTGTTTTACCAAAGGATGTCAAACACGGTCGGTTCATCGGGCCCTGCTCCCGGCAAAATACGTGGACCTGGCAGGCCACCAAAACGTACGTGTACATGGTGCGCAGAGAGTAAAACTCCTCTAAAATATGTCTTACCTACAGAGAATGGTAAAAAGGAGTTCTGTTCCGAAACATGTCTTTCTGAATTTAGACAGGCGTATAGTAAAGGCGCCTGTCTACACTGCGATAATGTTATTAAAGGGAATGCTCCATCAAGTAGCAAGAACTTTTGTTCAACTTTTTGTTTGAATAAATATCAAAAGAAAAATGAAAAACGGACTTCTTCACCGCAATCTGGAAATGGTGCAAATGGTTCTGAAAACCATTCTAATAACAATTCCACAGGATCATATTATGATATTTATCAAGCATTCGATTGGAATGAGTATATGAAAGAAACAAGTAGTGTACCAGCTCCACAGGAATGTTTCAAACAAGCTCCTTTACCTCCAGTCAATGATTTCAAAGTAAACATGAAATTAGAAGCATTGGACCCCCGTAATTTGACTTCAACTTGCATAGCTACAGTAGTTGGCGTGTTGGGTCCGCGTCTCAGGTTGAGGCTTGATGGTAGTGACAATAAAAATGATTTTTGGCGGCTTGTTGATGCTGGTGATATTCATCCTATTGGTCACTGTGAGAAGAATGATGGAATGTTACAGCCTCCTCTTGGGTTTCGTATGAATGCTAGTAGTTGGCCTATGTTTTTGCTCAAAACATTGAATGGAGCTGAAATGGCTCCTGCTCAAGTGTTCCAAGAAGAGCCGCCAACTCCTAAGACAAATTCTTTTATGGTTGGACAAAAGTTGGAAGCTGTAGACAAGAAAAACCCCCAATTAATTTGTTGTGCTACAGTAGGAGCAGTGAAAAATGATCAGATTCATGTGACTTTTGATGGCTGGCGAGGTGCTTTTGACTATTGGTGCAAGTATGATTCAAGGGACATATTCCCAGTGGGCTGGTGTGCTAGAGCAGGCCATCCATTGCAACCTCCAGGCCAAAAAAGTGCCACTGCACCTTCTAGGTAGGTTACTTTTTATTTTATTTTTTTATTTATTACTTGCTAGCCTATACCTGCAATTTCATATGCAAAGATTTTAGAAGTATTTTTCATACTTCTAGGTTATGTATCAAGATAAAATAAAACAACATAGAGTAAAAATTTTATTCAATTTGTTTTTGTGATGTCTGAACAAATATATAGACAGATAGATACAACAAAATCTGTTGTTTTTACTTCTATTGTTTTATTAGGATCCACCAGATTAATATTTCTTAAATATCTCCTAGATATAGATATTGTTTAATAACAGTTGTATTATATTAGTGTGATAAATGAGTAATTCCAATTATAATTTTGAAAACATTTTTATTTCACAATTATTAAGACTTATCATGTCTATTAATATTTAGTATGGTTGATACACTTGTATGTTTATCCCTCCAAGAGTATAAGTCAAGTATACTGCAAAATGTGATACTTGTGCTTATTTATAGGTGAAGCAGAATTCAATTAATTTTGTAGCTATTATATATGCTTGTTATCAAGTTGCCAGAATTTTACTTATTTGCTTTAAAAAAATAAAAAGTATATAAATGCATATAAATATATGGCATAAAGGTCTGTGCATGTTTTGCAATAAAATATCAGTTGTATTTCAAAGCTTTGTCTAGATGAATTGGAATAAAAATATTTATGTGTTAATATATGGCTTGTGTGCCAAATTTTATTCTAATTTGTTCCATGTTTACACATTATTGAGTAACAACATGAATTTACAAATGTTCACAACAATAATATATATATAATAATACTATAAAGAAATATTATTATAATTAATTACCTTGGTGGAATATTTGGAGCCATCGATTTTTGCACCTGTAAATGATTTTTTTAAAAATTAATTATAATTTTCAATTTGAATGATATGGCAGTTGTTTATTGTTATGTTTTTATTATTTATGAGTAAATGTTGACACAATCTATGTTAATATTTTCAGGTTTAAGTTACGGCCTAGTGGTATCCCTAATCCAGCTTTGCCGGAGGGTGGATCTACTGGCACTAGTAATTCAACTTCACCAATATCAACACCAACAGCCATTGTTCGTTTACGAATACGTAGTAGTTGTTCTGGAGGTAGCAGCTCTTTGCCCAGTGCAATTACTGGCATTGGACCTTCTGGAGCAGCCGAGTCTCTTGCAAAGGACCTGATTAGTGTGCATCCTGATCCGCAGAGGTTAACAAGGGCGATATTAACAGCATCTAGTAGTTATTCAAATATAACTAATGTACAGGTAAATATTGATTTAATTTCTCATTCAGAAGAATTTTAGTAGTTAACAAGTTATACTATTGAAGGTAACTAAGAAATAAAATGTCATTCAGTTTGTAACCGACCAGTAAACAAGTAACAGTAATCTTGCATTTTTATTTCGATATCTCTGGACATACATTACAAAATTATAATTGTTTACTTATATGCTCTACTCCTGTGTAAACTCATGTTAAATAATCAGCAACCTCAAAATTAAATATGTTAGTCAATCTACTAATAATTCAGTATGACTTGCAATAGTTATTGCTTAATGTGTAATTCAGACATAGATCAAGACAAACTACCTGAATTGTATATACTTTTATTTTTGATATAATAGGAAATTAATATCTTGAAAATTAAAATAAAAAATTAGGGAATAAAAAACGGAACATGATTCTATGCATGTAAATTGCATATATGTATAGTTACATTCCTTTTCACAAAGCTAAAAATATTTTTAAGTTATAGTTAACAATATTAATTTATAAATAATGACTTAAATATTTTATTAATTTTTAACAATGCCTACTTAATAATTTGCTGTTATAATATTTCTTTACAGGTTTCATCAGGCTCTAAAAACTATTCTGTGAAGGTACCATCAGATCTTACTAATGATGAATTGAAAAGTTGGCTGAAGGCTGTATGTAATAGTGTTGGATGCTGCCCAGGAATGATAGAAATAGATACAGGCGAGGTTGCAGCTCGACCTTGCTCTTTATGTAATGAATCCACTTCAAATAGCGTGTCATCAGCTGTTAAGAGGCCTAAGAGTGTAAGTAGCTAAATTATAAATTTTAATTTGATGTGTTAAATAGGTATTGTTGTAAAAATCTTAATATTTCAATACTTCTTGCACAATTTTAATACAAGTTAAACAGTTTTAATGTATTTAGCAATAATATAAACCTACATTGTTTCTGGTTCTAGGCAGATTTTTAATTAATGTTGTAAACGGGAACCAAGAAGTTCTGCTTTAGATCTAAATAATTGTAAATCGTGATAAATTGTAAAAAAGTAAATTAGATCATTTAATTCAGTTTGTTCAATTAAATGTGGTATATTTTCTTGAAGTGAGAACTCGTAAGAATCACTAGAAATTGATTTGAATTCAACATCACTTTCATTGTCATCTAGTATGTTTGTACCCGAATTACTGGGACAAACTGTGTGTGGTAAATCTTTCAAATGTAATATGGGCCTAGTAACAGACGGAACTTCGGCATGTATAATACTTGCCTAATTTTTTTTATTATATCCCAATGTCTTCGTAACACAAAAGTAACAATCATATTTTTACCATGATTACTAGGTTCTCTCCATAGCATTGTTGAATCAAATGAATGGTAAACGTTTTCTCCTAATGACCACTGGAGCAATATGATTCTACAGCTTTCGCAAAACATATGCACCACCCACTTTTTGTCCTGATTTGTAACAGGAAATCCAAAATAATGAAGATATGCACTTTTCAACTAATCTACAATGGATCTTTTCTTTTTTGAAAGTATAAACTGCTCACAAACATAAAAACGATCAGAATTTTGTTTACACTTTTTACTCGACATTTTAAATCAATTTGAAACAAAATAATTATCATTTGAACAGATGAATAAACAATAAACTGTCGTCAACACGTTAAGTAGTTAAAAAAAAAACATTTGACTGTAGGAAGTAATTATGACGTGTTAAACTATTTATGCTAATACTTTTAGGTTTAAGGAATGTAGATTAAAATATTTTTAATACATTTATTTCGGAGTATATAAATAAGTTCAATTTTGTAAACTAATGTAATTAACTAATTATTAAGAGGTCTTTCACATTTTTTGCACAAAACAACGTAAATCAGAGATTTTAGGTTTCTGGTTCTAAACAATTAAGGTTTTATACATTTTAATTCCTGAATTATATAGATACATGTCTAATCTTAAAAACAGAATTTTTAAATTGTTACATTTCTTTTTATTATGTACTCATTTCTTCCTGATTTCTAAAGTCGTTTAAAATGTTAAGAGACTGAAGTTTGGGGTCGTCGTTCAATAATGAAGAAACATAAAAATGGTATTATATCGTTATTAAAACTTGTTAATTATTCTATAAATTGAGAGTGATATATTTTTTTTTATTTTCAACACAAATACCTAAGTAAATTGAACATAACTGAACCCAACTTTTTACCAAAACTTCCAAAATCATTTCAAAATTTCTCAAAAATACTACGATAAATTTGCATAAAAAATACATAATCAAAGAGTTAATATATTTGTATTCAAATATAATAAAAAAATCATAAGTTACTAGGTAAAAATTTTGGAATAATAATAATTTAATGCTGTATAAATATTGTTTCGTCAAACGTGAAGACACACTATCGCGCTAGCGCTTGTCAAGAAATTAGCTCTGTCATTTTGCGACATGGCTACGACACGATGCCCGTACGCATTTGACGTTGTGAACAACACTATAGCGTGACTACCCAATTTTAATACCGTAAGTAATTTTTAATCACTTTTAGTTAATATATATTATATTTTTGCGATTGATATATTAATGACATTGTTTAATATACATATTGTATTTATTTATTTTTAGCATGCCAAAAAAAGTACAGTTCTCCGACAAAAAGCAATATCCAGCTACACTAAGAAAAGCGCAAGAAGCAAGGTACTTAATTTACTTTTAGAACTACAGTATTTCTTTTATACTGTTTAATTTAATTAGCCACAAATTAATGTATAACTCTGTATCTATTTCAGAAAGAAAAAGGATTTAATGAACGATTCTAATAAGGTTTGATTTTTATCTCCAGTATCTAATCACCACAACAATTTTAAATTTCCTATTAAAACTATGTGTAATTTTAACATTTTATTTTTTTTAAGACGCACACAAATGCTTCTTTATAAATATAATCTCACCAAAATATAAAATGTAAAAGTTGTGTGATCTCATATAAAACTAAGTCAGTTTTATTTATAGTGACCATATCAAATTAGATATCTTTATTTCTATAATAATTATAATTACTGAGCATTTGGATGGTAACATATTCTACTAATAAAATACTTTAAATCTAAATATGTATTCTTTAGATTTTTTATGCAATTCAACAACTTAATATTTCAAATATATAGACATCGTCTAGTTGCAATTTTATTATATTACTAAGATTACCTATCTTTTTACCATAAAATTTTTGAAATCTAAGTAAATTTAATGAATTTTATTTTTAATAAATCTTTGTTTTACTTTCACTTAAAATGCGATACAATATATTTATTTATTTAATTTACACTTTATTGCACCATTTATAAAATAATAAAAAGGAATATAAAAGGCGGCCTTATTGCTAAGCAATCTCTTCCAGACAACCTTTGGGTAGAGGACATAGACAATATGGTTATTATATTTAAGATTATTTTATTTTGTCTATATTATTTGCTTACTAAAATAAAATATTTGAAACAAGTAAATATGGCAATAATGTATCAAACTATTGTATTTAAATTATCTTGAATTTATTGTTTGTAATTTTTGTATGATATTTTTAATAATTAATGCAATAAAAAGTATTAATAAATAAATTATGTTTTAATAATTTCATCTTCCTGTTCTTAATCCAATTTTTTTAATAATAAAGATTTATTGCAATTAAAAATATACAGTCATGGGCTTACTGTAATTTTAAAGTGAATGTATTAAATGTAACATTATGCCCAGCACAGTAGTGTCTAAATTAGAGCTAGCCTGTATCTTAGATTCCAATGCTTTCAATTACATACATATTTTCGTGCAGTTTCGCTATATTATAATAGTACAAATTTCAGTAAACAACATATTTTATATTAGTAAAATAGGGTATCTTTAAAATAAATTATAATGTATCGAAAAATGTGCTATTATTAGTAAAATAGATGTCGTGCTCTGCATTGTTCAACTGGTGATTAGTGCGATTAAAAATGAGACAGGTGAGACCAATATAAATGTTTTTTTTTTCAATTGATTTTTTTCCTAATATAATTTTATTTTCTGTGATAGCTGAAGATTATATCATTTTACAATTCATTTGTATATTTCAAACAAATACACAATTATATACATAGATTAAATAGATAAATTCATACATCTTCACAAATACACAGTTGCACTACTTGGCACCAGAACGATATATAGGTAGCGATTGGAAATGGACAAAGATACGGGAAACGTTAGGGCAAAAACTATTATCCATGCCCTCCATGCAATAATACTACCATATAAATAGCGTAATGTTTTTATATAGCTATGCAGCTATACAAATAGTCATATCTCAACTCCAAATATTATTTATTCCCGTACATTAATACACTCGTACATAGGTTAATAAAATTAAGTCATACAAAATAGTTTTTCCGTTTTATCATAATCTAGGGGTTTTAACCAAGGTACTAACTTATTCATAATTTGATAATTATTGGGGTTGAATATGTTTTACCCATACTACCTAAGATTTTGGCTTTTAGGATTAGCCGTTTCCCTGATGTCAACCATACCAAATTCGCTACACGTTTATTTGCGTCTGTGCAAATCAATGCGCGACCAAACTTTCAAATATCATTTTGTAATAGTCCTCTTAATATGAAATTTTAATTTTTTGTAAAGCGCATATTAAACGTTATTTAATGTTTACTGGATGTATGAATTCAGTTTATTTTTATTTATTTAAACGTTATTGACTAATAAAATATGGCACAAAAGTCCGTTATTTATTATGTAGGTGTGTTTGTGAATATTTCGTGCAACATAATGTCTTCAATAGTTTAATGCACGTATGAGATGTTGGCTAACATAAGCATAGAATAAATAAGGCATAAATGAATTATTAGCCACTGTGTCACGATTTTTTTTTAAGATTCTGAATTCTAAATGAGAACTCTTAAAAAATGCAGGCGTATTTTTTTGAGTCAACTATCACAGTATTTACATTATATAAATTTCAGGATGACACTAGCAGCAGTAATGTCAACGGTACGGGTGAGTCATCGAGCGGCGACGGGCCTGGTGGTGGAGGTGGCAGCGGCAAGATGGCTCGGATATCTCCCGAGCGACCCGAGCCTGCGTCTTCCACTACGGGTGCTCCGCCGCCGCCTTCGCCTGCTTCACCGCCCGCCGATTGGTCTGTTGAGGATGTTATAGGATTTATAGCAGCTGCAGATCAGGCATTAGCTGCTCATGCGGACTTGTTTAGGAAACATGTAAGTACTAATTACAAACCATTTGACACATATCCTACGCACACAAAGTATAATTGTACTTTTATAACTCCATGATGAATGCAAGGAGAATTTTCACTCTGCTAGCAAATGTCCACTATTCACTTAAACACCAACATTGTTTACTTTAATGAATATTGGTTGTGTTTGTTTTTTTTTTATTATTTGTTACTGTTACATAATTAAGATTGTATTTCACAATAAAAACAACTTCAATTGTAGTAAAATCAGTTATTTTGGTGTTAACATTAAACTACTGAACTTTTTTTAAAATCTATGGAATAGGATAAATTTTGCTAATTTTTTTTGGACCTAATTCATCATTCAGATAAAAAAATATTTTTTTCGAATCGGTTTATAACTGACGGAATTATGAGGTAACAAACTTAAAAAAATACAACTAAATTGAGAACCTCTTTCTTTTTGAAGTCAATTGAAAATTAACAAAACTCCAAAGATGTCAATCGTATAAAGTGAAAGTAATTTTTTGATAGCCATTTTGTAATTTTTTTTGCTTATAAATTTTTTTTTTGTTGCAGGAAATAGATGGCAAAGCATTGCTACTTTTAAACTCTGATATGATGATGAAGTATATGGGTTTAAAATTAGGTCCTGCGCTAAAAATTTGTAATTTAGTGTCGAAAATAAAAAATCGACGACATTATAGTACCTAAGTAGATGTACTATACATATAATTTGCTCTTAGAGTCTGAAACTGTAAGTTTCTTAATTTTAATAATATGTATAATATTAAGTATTTTATTGCATTTCAAAATATAAATGCTCTATTTCCATATTACAGATCATGAAGGTTTCTTCTTTATTAGAATCTCAAAGACATTAAGTTTATTGCATAATAATTCAAGCAATACCTGCTCAATATTTTACTATATTATTATTAAACCCTTTTGGATTAACAGTTGTAAATCCAAAAAGCTGTTGTTTACTTGATAATTTATTACCACTACTTAATTTATCTGTTTTTATCTCCACTTTATAAAATGCCGTCCTTTACATTATGTTTTCATTGTATTATATGAAGTGGCTGAAAGAAGAGGTCACAAACTTTAGTCGTTTAGAGTGGCAATATATGAGGGGTGTTTCATGGACATCACAGCATGGAGTGTTCTGTGGTCAAGGGGCACCGGCTTCCAAAAAAATCTCGCGGGTGCTCATTCTTTTTTGATAACTAGACACTTATTCATTATTTCTGCTGAAAGACAGGAACTGTTTACTGGACAAGCAAGCGCGATGTAAACAACACATAATGAGATGTGGATTATTTTAATTATATTATGATGTCTAGCATCATGGGTGATCCGCACCCACTATTTATCTCTTGTGGGTGCTGGAGCTCCGAGCACCCATGGAGTCGGCGCCCCTGTCTGTGGTGAGGACCAATTGAATAAAAAAAGATTTAAGAGTAGAATAAAACTGAAGTAAAAATGATCCTTATTAATATAAACTTAACCATAAGTATTTCGAAATTGTAAATCCTTGCTAATATAAATCCGAAAGTAAATCTATTTGTTACACTTTCACGTCTAAACTACTGAACCGATTTTGATGAAATTTGGAACGTCGGAAAGGGTTGAACGTTGTTACACGTCGCGTTCACGGGACTTGCCAAGCGTCATACACAATAAACGATGATCCTGCGGCGGCGCGGCGCGGTGTAGTGGGGGTAATATTGCTAAGTGTGCCTACCCGAAGGGGCAGATGATTGTCGGACGTATGCGAGTATTGGAATTTTTCCGCTGTAACGATTTTGATTTGTTTTTAGGGGTTTGTCTTGAGTTAATGTTTTTCGTCAAAAAGTATCATATCAAATTCTTTCGGTTTTCTGCAGGTTAATACATTTTCGTTTTCTTTGGGTCATTTTTTTTTTGTTTATTTCAATCGCAAAAAGTTAGTTTATATGATTTAAAAAAATAATGTTTATCGTAATCTACATATAAATAGGTTAAGCTATAATCATGACTGGAATGGCAAAATGAGAAAATGTTTTAATTCTCCGTATTCCAGTAATTCCGACTGAATTGCCATTTCAGTTTAAGAGTGCAGTTTCCCTTGAAAGCAGAATTTGCAATGACAATCGGTTTGAAGGGTGGAATATAGCAGTGAATTTACAGGGTACAGAGGAATAATACCTGAGTATGGAGTCATGGGCGAAACAGTATACTATGTTATGTCCATGGTATGGCTCGTATAGGCGACGGTTACCACCTTTTATCAGGTGGGCCGTCAGCTTGTTTGCCATTCTAAGTTGCATAAAAAAATAAAAATAAACAAAGCTCAAGGACAAACGTTTAAAGTTGCAAGTTGTAATGGCTATTTACTACACCAGTTTGCAAGTAATAGATACATATTTACAAAATAAAAAAACCTATATTCTGTCCAAAGTAACTATTCCACGCGAACTAAGTCGCGGGCAAAAGCTAAATTTCTGTAATTTCACAAATATAATTTAATTAGTCTTCAAAGTATTGTCTGTCAAGAAGAACTCGCAGTAAATTGGATAATTGATATTTCAAAACAATAATTTAGAAATTTAATTGGTGATTGATTATTTATTTAAATAGTATATCAACCGTTATCTGTCTATTGCTAAACATAGACCTCTTTCATAAGAAACGGTCATAAGCTATCTACATCTACTCTCTCCCTGGAATGCATTTGAAGTAGTCATTCCATCTAATGGATCGCCATTCAATAACTTTTCTTTCCCATCGGTTGTCGGTTCTTCGAGCTTTATAGTATATGAATATTTAAAATCTATAGTATAATTTAATCTAAGTCTTTTAAAAATCGAACTTACCAATTTTTTAAATCAATCCCAATAATCGTGAACGGAATAAACGCTTCAAGGAACACCAGGGGGCCTACCATGAAATGAAATTCCGAAGTTCGGGCTCAATATCGTGTTTTTGTTCGTACCAAAATCGACCCAGTAAATGGAGCGTTTCGTTCATCATAAATCTTATCCTAATAGTCCAGAGGAACGATATTTTAATATTTTTTAAAAAAATTAAGCGGCAGGTATTATGTAATTTTAACATCAAATTTTTATTTCGTTCGTCCCCGAAATTTCGGAAAATATTTCATGGTAGGCCCTCTGTTCACGAGTACGACGGTTGCAAGTGAGTTTGCTATTAGGATGTAATCGTGACAGTATCATGTATTTTACAGAATATTCCTACTGTGATATGGCACCCATCATGCATTGTTACATTTAAGATTAAAGTCTTGGCTTTTACATCAGTATTTGCACTAGCTTAAATCCAATCATGATTGTACGGATTGTATGGTTTTAAGACAAAACTGTAGTTCATACCTATAGTGTTTACTTTCAGTGTAATTGTAATTATGCCGTGTGATAGTTTATATTTTCTGGTATTACAATTAAAACTTACTACATATGCGTAGATTTTTCTTATTATTCCTATTTTTAGTAACATTTATACTACAAAGAATGTATAATTGCAGTGCAGTTCCCTACTATTATATTTTTGCATATGGGTTCCTTTATCTATAAAAATTATCATTATAGTCATAATAAATGAGTTATGCATTTAATGTAGAAACTGCTCATTTCGTTATCCTTAAATTTAGTTGATCTTATGGGCTGTATTAATTAGACATTTCGTTAAGTAATTGTATATATATTTAACATTTAATATTATTATTGGCTAGTCGTGCGCGAAGTTATGCCTGAATGATAAGTACATAATACAAACTTCCAAAATCAATACAGTGTACAGATATTCTATAGTAGATTAGGTCTAGTGCCTTTCAATAATTAGGTGTACTTAAAATGTCCCAAATATGACAAGAAGCCCTCGAGGACACCAATAAAGGTAGCTGTGATTTTATGTGTATGCTGCGTTTCTAATGTTTTATTTTTTTAATCAAACTACATACGTAGCAGCTATTTGGTCATTTAATGTTAAACTGTCGCAACATCCCAAATAATAAATTCTTGATGTTCCTTTTGAAGTCTGTATGAATGCTAAGCTACAAAAGTATTTTATTTGTAAATCTGTCTAATATTATAAAATATTTAATTTGCCATTGTCAAATTATATAATGTTAACATTTCATCATGTGATATTGTCGATGTTATTTGTTATCGTGATAAATATTATTAATAGTAATAATATTAAAATGTGTTGATTAATTAATTAACGTGATGTATATCTTAAGTTTTTTTCATGACATGAATAGTCATTAAGTGCGGAATAGCTTATTTTTTCTTTAATGTAAATAATTAATCACATTAACAGTTTGGATTGTGACAAATCACATATTGGAATTTGTATTGGTTTCATTAATCACAGTCTAAACTGTATATTGTTTTTGGTTTTGAATACAGACTTATGTAATATATCTATGGCAAAATATTATTATTTATATAAGAAAGCCGCTTATAATTTGAAAGTACACGAATATGTGTATAACTTGTATATACGGTATAGAAATGTGTGAAAAAATATTTTCACCATATAAAACTATTATTTTATTACTCTAGAATGTAATAATTGTATGTACATAGGCAGATTCATAAATAATTGGAAAACGTGTATAAAAATAAATAAATTGCAAATTAATATATTTTTATTTTTTAAACTGTTACACTATTAATATCATATACATATCCAAAGCTTAGATCGTATACATCTAGATAATTACAAACAGTTTGCCATACACAGCACAACTTTTTTATTTTATTCTGGGTTAAATGTTTGCTCTTGGAATATTTTTAATTCGTAGAAATTATTAAATCGATTCGGAATATCATTTCCCTAATGAATTAAAAAAAGAATAAAATTCAACAAGCATTCAAGTAAAATGACACTATTTCTAAGACGGATTCATTTGTACGATAAATTTTTGAAACGATAATTATCTAGAAACATACAGTACGTAGTGAATAACTATCTTTCTCAATGTAATTTGCGTAGTACTGGTATGGCAGTGTCTCCAGAAATAGTTGCTACCGAGATTGCTACATATTGGTATCGCAGTATTGTTTGATATTGTTGTAATGGCAAATAATTATTGATCGTTCTCGAATGCCGAATTCCCGAGTGCCGAATAATTATTGATCGTTCTAAATTGCTAATTACCCACGCGCACACTTCAATGAAGTTAATAACTTTGATTTACTATAAATTAATAATCTATTCTTTATCTATTCTACTAGTTTAATTATTACATTAATTTTTTTTTGTATTTAGTTATGATCATCATCTTCCTACCCTTATTTTTAGTTATGATGATAGTAAAAAATATTTCTACCTAGGTACAAAGAAAACTTATTGACATTGCATGACTATTGCAAACATTTATCTTTTAGTTAGATACTGTGTGCAGTATACTTAATTTTTAAGTGAATTTTGAAATAATGTACCTAATATTAACAATGAAAAACTACAAAAAAAATAAATGTAAATTGTTAAATAATAAATTCAATTAAATTGCTATCCATGGCAGAAATATATATAGATATGACTTGAAAACACCTATATTTCAGATTCTAGAGATTTATCCGTTAATGGATAGATATAATCTATTATCTGTGTATTATAACACTAATTGGTTGCCTTGTATTTGTGTAGTCCATGGAGATGGGGCACTGGTGACTTGTAACACAGGTTCTTCTGAACCTACCGCAAGCACCAGTCTCTCACAAAATTGGTCTTCATATCAAACTGTACCTCATATTGTCACTTTATTCTACCTTTTGTGAAGAGAAAATAAACCATTCATTCATTCATTCATAATATTTTGCGAATAAATTCAATTTTTTTGGAAACTATGGAAAGCCAAAAACGACATTCTACAAACTAAGAGTGCTTAATAATATGTAGCAATACTTTGCACCGAAACAGCTTTTATTGGTTTCTCTTTATAAACCAACAAAATCTTTATCAAGTTTGATTCTGCGTGGAGTATTGCTTACATCTATGGGATGAGCCAGTTCAATATATATTCAATATGCATCTTTCATGCATTTAATGTGCACTTTTTTAGAAGCGCTTTATTTAGTAATGCGACGAAACACCTACAAGCCTAACAATACGTAGAGTCGTTGTCTCGTTAAGCGCTTCTATTGTCTGTAAAGCGGTAAGTGCTCCGAAGAATTATTCGAGTGGATTTCTCTCTTTCCTTTCCACAACCGTATCATACTCTAGGGCCAAAGTCTACATCCGTTCACTGTGGATAAAATTCGCCCGCGCATGTCTAACTTTGGTAACTCATATCGTACTATCAAAATGTGAAACCACCTCCCTTACAGCGTGTTCCCTCTCATTTATAATTTTTATCTCTAATAGAGACGCATGAAAAAGTAATAAGTCAACATAATAGGAGCAATCGGTGAATTAGTGCTTCACTATGTCATCGGTTGCTTTTGCCCGTGGCTTGTACAAAAATCTTACTTCTGCTAGAATTTGATGTGTCGTCACATGTAGAGCTACTATAACATATACTATAATGGTTTTAGCAAAGGTAAAACTTTAAAAAGGTCTACTTTAAAGATAGTGCCTATTGTAGTGGATATTAGATGTATCGTAAGTATATAAATCATGTTTAGATTAAGTACAGAATATGTAATTTTAGATGGAATAGGTAGTCTGAAACAGTTGCCACAGGTCAATGAAATATCATTATCTTTCTCTCAGATTATTTGAATAATGAGGTATTCCACTACCGTAGCCAGAAATTAAAAAAAAAAGTAATAAAATAATGATTAGCGAGATGATTTAAATTTGACAATGACAAACAACGAAGAGTGTAAACAACGAAAAACAGAAACCTACCTCTTGGTTTACACTTGTGAATGTGAAACTAAATAAAAATGTAAATCTTTACCTAATAGAGCAGGTAGGTACTTAACTACTAGATTATATTTCGTTTGGCCTTTTATACTTACATGTCTGTAATAATATATCATATCTGTAAAAATATTACAATCAGCAGGTGCTTTACCTCTGTTTACTTAGATATGTGATGTCGGAGTATCTCAGAGCGTTATCATTATCTCGCGGCCTTTATAAGGCACAACATTCGATAAATCGATATTTAAAAATGAAACGCCGTTACTAAAAAACAAAAACTAATTTGTAAAAAGAGAGTGGCGCAGGCGCAGCATTTTATTTGATCGAGTCGTGAAGTCAGTCTCTCGTTGCAGGCCGTGATAGATCGCTGTGTCACATTCATGCCAACAGTCAAGTGCGTGTAAATAACTGAGCATAGTGTTTGACCAAGTTGAATGTATACAAATATCACACAAAATGGAAATGCGGGAACAAAATACAGATGGTAAGAAGAATAGTGAAAGTGAATTTTAGTGTTGTCATATCAGACCTGCAATGATTTACCTACATAAATATTAATTTATTATTTGTTGACCCCAATACATTTAAAGTGTCTAAGTAAATAAATGCTACAATATTAATTGTGCATATACAATAAAAGAGAACAAAATATCTTTTTCATGTCTTTGTTTTTGTAATTTTGTGACAGTCAAGGCAATTTGTCCTATCGATTTATTGCTAATTGGAGAAACATAGTATTTAATAAATAAAGAAAGTTTACTAAAATGCCTTATTTTAGTAAGTTAATTTTTATCCATTTCCTATTTTTACCTTATTGATTCTTAACTTATTAATCATTTAGCCCCATACTTTTTTATATCTCTAGCTACCACATATTCACTTTCTATGTTTGAACAATAATAAGAAATAGTGAAAAAGGTTTTCACAATCACTGAACTGTCAGAACGACTTGTTGATTAGGTGCAACTATAGGTGCAACAAAGGTGGCAATAGCTGTAGATAATTCTTGTAAGTAGATTCTTAGAAATACGTACTAAAAGATGACAGACTTAGTACCAAAGAACAAATTTCACATTTGGTATGTATACAAACGTGTACAGAAAAATAAATATGTTATTTAACATATTTTCCTTAAGGGGAATATTTAGGTAGGGGTTTGAGTTTTCCTTTAAATTTTGATTCATATGATTATTAATGAATAATGAATAAAAACTTCGAAAATAGGTAATATGTAAATTTCAACAATTTATGGTCTGTTCCTGAACCTTTTATCATTTTTATTTCACTTATGGAAACGATTGTTTCCAACTGAATTTTTGTTTCGCCTCTCTCAAATATTGTTATTTAACTTAGCTGTATGTCGTAGTTTCGCGAGCTGTATTTAATATCTGTATTAATATTATAAAGAAGAAAAATTTTATTGTTTGTTTGTAATGGATAAACTCTAAAACTATTCAATCGATCTTAAAAATTCTTTGACCTACATTATCAGCAAGTAACATAGATTATATATTATTTTCGAGAATTCATCTACTCTTGCAAAACCGGGTTGGATCACTAGGTATTATTTAAAGTATCCCATATTAAAATTAGGATATGAACCATCTGTGACCTTTTACTGAAATTTCGTTTAAATCCGTTCCGTAGTACCTACACTCTCATAAACTACTTATTACATTTGTAGTAGTACCTAGTAGAGTTCTAGTTTTTTAAAAACTAAATTACTTATTATAATATATAGAAAATAAAAAAAAATTGTCACTCGATATCTATTCTCTATCTAACCTTGTAAATCCTATACCTAGAACAGAATTAACATAGAAATGAAATAAAACAGTAGTCATTGTATATTTTTATGACAAGACAATACAATTTCTATTGCCACAATGTAACGTAAAAAAATATCGTTTTTATTTATCTTATGTTATGGTATTATTTTTATGGTCTTTATTGTGACGATCTATAAGGAAATTGATGTTTACTTATATAATTATATGTAGCAAAACATGTTTGTGACATATACTTTGGTAGAAACGGTTGCTGTTGTTAATACAAACAAAAACCATATTTATAGGTACTACACGACATACCTATACATTTTGGAATAAACGTTGTGTTATGGAAATGTGGTTTTGTTAAAGACCTATACCGCATTATTTATTTATTGTATGGTTGTATTATTATGTTCTAAAAGTCATGTGTAAGATTTACGTAATATTATTATTCAGTTGATTTTATTTAGACTATAAAAATATGAAAGTTACTGAGTTGAATTCTATGTATATATACATAGGTAAGACCTTATGTTATAAAAGTGGACAATCTCGCTTTAAAGGTCATTATATATGGACTGTATTGTTGTTGATGTATACAGCCGCATTCCAAATTGTATTTCTAAAAACTAAGACTAGAACAAGACTAGAATATCACATTCAAACTATATCGTTACATTTATTAACTTTCTTGCTTGTTTTCTATATTAATATATATAATGCAAATAAAGTATACTCATTTATTTATTCAAAGTGATTTGTGTGTTTATAGAATTACATATTAAATGTGTCTTTAAAATTTCATTCAAACATTTAAGTAGGTATTTAAAAATATATATGTACTTATTAACATAAAAAGTGTAGTTCTAATCTAACAAATATTATTTACAGTTTTCATATTTCACTATTGTATATTCATCTTTTATTTAGTTAATTGTACCTACCAGTTGACACGTCTGAACGTTTTATCTGTCTGTCAAAATTTAAACATATTAGTATAACAATTTTAAATACAGTTTATTTTATTTTATTTTTTTATTGGATGAAAATGGAGTGGTAACCTCGCCTGCGCTAATGGGATACGCTGGCGGGGCACCAGTGAAGGGTGATCGATGAGGATGAAAACAGGCCAGTTAGCTCATCATGATGAATTCATCAGGAATTAGTCATGATAGTTTCCAGGGGGAACCGGAAGGAGGTCGACCTGGTTGGATATATTGCTAGCAATGTGATTCTTAGTCTCCATTACTAACAATCCGTTTCTCCCCAATACAGTTTATTGAAATATATAGATATTTATATTAATTAGGAAATGATTGTATAGCGAATTAAAGTAGTAATTAATCTACTTTTATTCTCAATAACTAGAACATTGTCTGACAAACAGGTACCTAATAAACAATCTGGACCGGTAGTTTCAAAGATGCATAAAATTTTAAATAAGAATTCATTTATTAATATAGAAAAAGGATAAAGACTAAAGAGAAATTTCCGTGAGCTTTATCATCTTTTTTATTTTTTATAATTTAGAATTCAGTAGTTTTTGAATTATTGCCATTAAGTAAGGACGCTCCAGACTAAGACATATAAATAATTAAGTAGATAATTAAAATTGTTAGAAAATATATTTTAATTAAAAAAATATACATCTTACCAAGTTTTTTAGGTGATGGATAGAAAAACCGTCTGGCAAAGGCCTCTACACTTACATAAATCTATTATTTTATTCAATTTCATAATTACATACATAATGTATATTCAATCATAACCTGTGGTGTCTCACAGCTGAAGGTCCCCCCTCAACTGCTTCCATCTCGCATATACATAATTGATTTTAATCTTGGTAATATTTTATTTTTATGTAATTTTGAATGTCAAACAAGCTAATTGCCTACCTGATTGTAAATAGCAACCGTCGACTACAGACATGAACAGCAGCATGGATAACAGTAGCATGTATCTCTGTACTAATTATATTCTTTATGTGTTGCTTTGCTTACAACTAAGGTTTTACGTTCTAATTTCTCAACCAAAATTTCTCCAGTTAAATCGACGCAGCCTTGTAAGCCTAGCTGTTTCTGAGTAGAAACAAAAGCAGAACAGAGGTACTCTATGATGACTTTTGTATATTTTCCTTTTCTACAACCATCTGGGAAATTTAAGAGCACAGTTTTAGACATGCAAACCAAAACTAATTTAAAAAAGCTTACTTTTTTATTATTGATCAGATTGAGATCGAAATTTTGGCAATATACACGTAATACGACTGATAGCTGTGAATTTAAAATGTGTGCTGTATCTGATTAAATAATCATCATCAACATATGAACCATTAATTGCTTGCTTACTGCTGAACATAGGCCTCCTTTGGGGGGGGGGGGGGGGTTGATCATCCAGGTGGATTGGCAATTGCAAACTTTATTAACCTATAGTAACCTATTTATATATAACCACTATTCGTATATAAATAATTTTTTTCTTTATTTTTTTCTTTTTTTTTTCTATATTACTTTTATAATTAATAACATACTGGACAAAAACGTGACATCGAGATATGGCAGGTATATGGTAAATACAAATTGTATGTATAAAAACTTTCACTCTACTTTCATTCTCTAGGGAAAAAACACAGGATGACTGTGTTTGTATGAAAAAATGGTGCTCGCGTATTCTCTTAATTGGCATAACGTGTCAAATTGTCAATTACCGGTGTCCCAACTCACAAAAATGTTTTAATTACACAATTGTGCTCTAGGTCGGTCGCTCCATAGATATAATTGTTAATTTCACAGGAGATCTATTTAAAGGGTTCAGGCTCAATTAATACAATTGTAACACTGTGTTTTCTGTTATTTGATATTTACATAAGTAACGTATACATAAGTCACTCGGTTCGTACGTAATTGCTAATGTCATAAAAGGTAAAACTTTTTAAAGGGCTTCAGTTTCGTGACGTTTTATATTTTTTTGGTACCTGAAGTTACGCGATGTTTGTATAGACGATTATAAATCGATTTTGATAATTCGGTTTCAGAGATGTTTTCTCCCACGAACTCAGGTTATGAAATGAGCCGAGGTTCTCCCAAGAGACTACAGCATGGAGTTCTTCAAAAGGGGTTAAAGAGGTTTCTTCAGGGTCGGCAACGCGCACGTAATACCTCTGGTATTGCAGGCGTTCATAGGCTATGGTAACCGCTTACCATCAGGTGGGCCATGTGCTTGTTTCCCACCTCAGTGGTATAAATAAAAAAGTATAAGTGACAGCGAATTTTTTTACTTGCCATGTAATAATTTAACATATGACAAAAATTGCTTTGGTAATGTGGATATTTTATCCGGAGAAATACATTTTATTACTGTTTATTGAATAAATAAACGATTAGGTACTAGTATATTATCATGAATGATACAAGTGTTTTTATTGTTTTAACTTGGAATGGCGAATAAGCTAATAGCCCACCTGATGGGAAGTGCGAATATTCGCCTAGACATGAACAGTACCACGTTTATAACATTACATTATTTTTAGAAAGTTTTTTTTTTTTTTTTTTTTACAACACAGGGGGCAAACGAGCATGCGGCTCACCTGATGGTAAGTGACTACCGCCGCCCATGATCACCCACAACACCAGCGGCATTGCAGGTGTGCTGCCGGCCTTTTAAAAAGGAATATACTCTTTTCTTGAAGGTTATGTTGTCGTATCGGTTCGGA